GGCCAACATGGGGAAACCCCATCTCTATTAAAAATACAAAAGTTAGCCAGGTGTGGTGGCGCATGCTTGTAGTCCCAGTTACTCAGTAGGATGAGGCAGGAGAATCACTAGAACCCGGGAGGCAGAAATTGCTGTGAACTGAGATCATGCCACTGCACTCCAGCCTGGGCGACAGAGTGAGACTCTGTCTCACACACACACACACAAAGAAAGTGGTTTGTGAGGGTAAGTAGGGTGAAGTAGGGTTAGGGGGCAGGGTTGAATCCTTGAGGAGAGTGAAGAAGATTTGACATACTCATTGTTGAGTGTGAGAGAAAAATAGCAGGGCCACTAGGCAGTGTTGGGAGTTGAACCATTTGAAGAAACTTACGGAAGTGTAGTGACACTGATCTTTTCACGCTATCTCTCAGCCCTTAGGGGCAGGCAGGAGAAAGCAGACAGTAGATTTGCTCCTGAGTCACATAATTTCTCTGCAAGTATTTAGAAAAGACAGAAGGCCGAAGGACTTGAATGTAAAGCAGGAGTGATTCACGTATGGACTATACGTTCTGGAGGAGGGATGGAGAAAAGGGTCGATGGAAATCAGATGGGCGGTGGAGAGGCTGTGGGCAGGGTGAGATATGCAGACTGCACAGTTATGGAGGGAGAGCTGCCAACTGTACCCAGGCACTGATGGGTTCCCCATGTGAGTAACGGCAGAACTTGTCTCCATTTCCTCACCTACTCATGCTTCAGCTCATTCCGATTTGAACCACACTCCAGGTGGTTACTTTTCCTAAGGGCTCAGATGACCTTTATGTTTTCAAATCCAAGACATAGTTTTCAGTCTTCATTTTGTTTGACTTTTCAGTATAATGTGACACTGTAAACCATTCTCTGGTCTTGAAATGGTCTCTTTCACTGGCTTCCAGGACAACACATTGTCTTTATTTCTTCCTGACTTCAGGCTCCTGTTTGCTGGTCTCCTTGAGAGGTCTGTGTTTCTCTTCCTGTCTGTTATATTTGGAAGCTTCTGAGTAGGGTGTAGTCCTCAGCCTTCGTGTCTATACTCTCTTCCTAGGCAATCTTATCCATGTCTCATGGCTTCAATTGTTCCTCATCATCTTAGAAGTTTCTCTGGAGCTGTAAGCTCAAATATCCAATTCCTACTAGTCACTTCCACTTGGATGTCTCAGGTTTTCAAACTCCTCATTTATTAATCTGAATTTATAATGTGTCCCCAAATCAAATTCTTGCCTGACACTCCCACCTGAGTGAACCTCATGTCTGGTTAGGCAAGTCGGAAAACTAAACACCATCCTTGATTACCTCTCTTTTCCTCAACTGCCCACACCTAATCCACTGTTCCCATCAGTTTTGCTTCTTAAATATCCTTAGAATTCACTCACTTCTCTCCACCTCCAGAGCTAGGACCAGATCCACTCTCTGTCATCTCTTGTCTAAACTACTGCTCAGCTTCCCAAAGGCCTCTTAGCTTCCTCCCTAACTGCCTTCCAGTCCCTTCCCCACACAAAATCTCATAACCCCCCACCTCCAACAAACACAAATTGGATCATACAGCCCTCGACTTAAGCCCCCTGCAGTGACTTTCCAGTTGCTGCTGCTCCTTGAATAAATACAAAAGCTCGTCATCAAGCCCGGGCATGGTCTGGGCTGCATCCGCTCCAGGCACACTGGCCTTTCCGTGCAGCAGCTCAGGCCTGCCGCCTCCTCCTCGGTTCCAACTTGCCCCAGCTCTCAGCTCACGCGTCTTCAGGGATGCCTTCCTGACAACCTTGACCAGGCTGTGTTCTGCCATCATTTGCTCTCTTGGAATGGCATGGCCTCCCTCTACAGCTCTTACCTCAGTTTGGAATTGCACATTCACTTAGGTGATTATTTGACAACCACCTAAGTGAGCTGTCTGTTCACACCAGCCTCCAACCTCCGTAAGAACAGAAACCACATCTGGTTTTGCTCATCTTGTATCTTCCCCAATTAGCAAAATACCTGGCAGTAGAAGGTTATTGTGTGAAGTTAATTGAACAAATTCTAGTCAATTACTTATTATGTCCTGTAACCATTGACTGAATAACACCTCAGTGGGTGGGTTGGGGGCCAAGACATTCAATTTAGGTGCGATGATAGCATAAAGTCTGGCAAGGCACAGACAGGTCCCACAGGACGGGGGGCGGGACTCCTACCGGAGCCTATGGCAATGCTGAGGATTTCCCTGCCCCACGTCTTTCCCCACCCAGGCACTAAATGCATCCAGTGACGTGGTTAAGAGGGTGATAGCGCTACACCATCGTGATGTCTTATTTAAGAGGAACGTATGCATTAAGTCCGATCAATGACTTAATGTATGGATGTACGATCAATGAACTACATTGCTAGATGATGTTCGTGTGCTGTATGATTTAATGGGAGATTAGATTTTCATGTATTATAGTCCTCTGTGGAATTAGAGTTCTTGCTTGTAAGCATGTTCATCGATAAGTTATGCACGTTTTGGTTTAATGTACTACGTAGAAGGTGCTCGGATTTTTTTGTGTGTGTGTGGGTTTGTTATAAGAACCATAAGATCTAAGCAGAAAGGTACCTTAGAAAACATCTGCTGTCATTTTGAAGTTGAAAAAGCAGAGGCCAGGCAAGGTGGGAGATTAGGCGGTTCATTTATACACCATCACACAGCTAGTCGATGGCAGAGCTGGAATGCGAATCTGCTACCCACCCTCCAGAGAGGTTGGCTGACCCTAATGGGTCATTTTCATGCCTGGTGCTGTTTTTGCCAATAGAACAAAACCAAGCTTAGTAAAGCAGAGCAGAAACTTTGTTAATGAAGAAATGCAGAAGGGAAGCTCGTCCTCAAAGCATATTCTAGGGGGCAGGATGGCGGGATGGCAAGTAAAAGAGGATGTGAAAGGCTCTTAGGGCAGGTAGGTGAAGACCGGGGCAGGATTCCTAAAAAAAGATGGGTTCTTCCAGGATGCACCGGAGTGTGCACAGCCTCGTCTTTTGTACTCAGCATTTTTTGTGCCTGGCAAGGTACATTTCTGCCCTCTAGGCGGCGGTCTTAGCATGGTAATGAAGCAAGAATTCAGGTCGGGGCAGCACTGCTGAGCTGGTTCGTGGTTATAGGCATCCAGCCTCCCTTTCTGTAAGCAAGCACAGCTTCGAGCACAGGTTAATTTCACAGGTTTTGAGGATTCTGAAGTAATTGGGGTTATGTTGCCATGACAAATCCCCATCTCCTTCTGGTCCAGTGAATTTTCCGCCTCCACCTAGGAACTATTTATTTATTTAGTATAGATACTCTAGTAGTATTCTCTCTTTCTCTCTTTTTTTTAAGGAAAAATAAGAGGTGTCTATGCTTAAACTGTGCTTTTTTGGGGGGTTGCTATACCATCACAAAGCATCAAGCCATTGACAGATAAAAGAGCACACTCTGGAGCAGAGGGAGATGCCATTTTAAGGATGTGCCTCGCCTCATCCCTACCGACTTGCAGCAGTGATAGAGATGCCTAATAGGACCTAGAAGGCACACTCCTCCTTCCTCTGCCCCTACAGAACCTCCCCAGCCACAGGCATTAAGAGGAAGATTAACAAGCCTCACAGGGACACGTGCTTGCTCTCTGGAAGCTGTGGACTCGTCAGAGAAAGCTGCAAATCCCATTTCCTCCTGTTGCAGCAGGCAATTATTTTTGCATGATCAGATCACAAGCTGATTATAAAACAGATTTGCCCTGTGTCCAGAGGCTGCTTTTTCCTGCAAGCAGGTTTCTCTTCCACTTAATGGAGCAGGGGAGCCCTCTGGTGGTAATCTGTAGGAAAATCTCCTGAGCAGGAGGGATATGCTTAATTTGGGTGAGAATTCTTTTTATTCTTTTCCCTTGCCTCCACAAGCCTTTTTCCAAAATCAGCCATTAGGTCCTGGCACAGTGGCTCATGCCTGTAATCACAGCATTTTGGGAGGCCAAGGCGGGTGGATCACTTAAGGTCAGGAGTTTGAGAACAGCATGGCTAACATGGCAAAACCCCTGTCTCTACTAAAAATACAAAAATTGGTTGCGTGTGGTAGTGTATGCCTGTAATCCCAGATACTTGGGAGGCTGAGGCACGAGAATCGCTTGAGCCAACCTGGGAGGCAAAGGCTGCAGTGAGTGCTTCTGCATTCCAGCCTGGGTGGCAGAGTGAGACTCTGTCTCAAAATGAAACAAACAAAACAAAATCAGCCATTAGAGGTAAGCCATGCCTGTTGTAAGCCATCTGAACAAGAAGGTTCATACTATCAATGGACCGATGCTTTTTGGGGTCAAGATTGCATTTCTTCAGCTATGCTTTTGCTAAAAATCCCCAGGACTCATGATGTGAACAAAGCTATGGACTGTGAATTTGGCGCATGTTGGAGAGGGGAGGAGAGGCCCTGATGTGTTGTTCTGAAGTGAGTGACAGACATGCCTGCCCTATGGGTGGAAACACCAAGCTCTGTATAGCACTTTATAGTTCACTGGTATAACATGTGATCCTAATCACCATGGAGGAGGGCAGCTCTGAACCAGCAGGAGGTCTCTTAGGTGTGAGGCTGGGACCAGGGGGCTGGAGAATAAGGGGCAGGTGGTGGAACACGGGAACATGCGGGGCCGTGGCTGTTTGCAGAGCCCAACAAGTTTGAGAAGATTAGAAGAATGAGGGTGGAGAGAAGGGAGAGGATGGCATACTTCTGATACCTGTAGTGTCCAAACTGTCTCTTCAGAAGGGAGAGTTAAGAAATCCAAGTCGCAGGCACCAGGAACCAGGCTTTGGGAAAGGACGTGGTGCCTGATTTCTTGAACCTTTCTCAAAAGCCTGGGAATATCTAGTCCTGTTTTTCATTCAAATGTTTTTGGTACGTCCTATTTTATTATATCTGTTTTATATTTAATTTTCTCTGCATAGAACAGCCTTCTGAAAGTAGAAATCAAAATGTTCACCATTTTAAAACCTTAGGCAATATATGTTTGAAAAAGTTAAAAATCACAAAGAGATCAAGACTGTTTAATAGTTACTTTTTTTTGAGGGAAATCCAGTCACATTTGCCTGTACCGTACATACACCATTACTTGGACATTCACACTCCACTGGGAACATGATAAATTACAAAAGAGAGAGGAACTTTTAAAACCACATTTAATTTTTAATACAAAATCTGTTGCACTATTACAGAAGTGACCCTTTCATGCACAGATAAATTTAGTATCTACCAGTCTGGAAGAGGAAAAACTGTATTTTTATTGTTCTCCCAAAATATTGGCAAATTTAAAGTAACTTTTAATCTTTGTGCTCTCTGATGCCAAAGCAAACTGTTTTGTCTTTTTGTATTTTCAGTAGACAAGGTGATCTGTGAAAAGTAAATATAGAGACATGAAAGTATTAGGGCCATCTTTACCTGGGATCACTTTAAACTATGCTTCACCTACATATATCGAAGACGCCCAGTGACTAGGCCTACTGTGCCCCATAGGCAAAGCTCTGACGATTTCATCTAGAAATCTGCTGTCGATATGTAGAAAAATTCACTATTTCAGTTTCACAGCAAAAAAGGCAGGGGGAGAGGGGAACCCAACAGTTATTTAAGTAGATGCTTTCCAATCCCATTCACTGCATCAATTAGCTTACTTCTTATACAGTACAACATAATCATTGCAGTTTTATTTGTATGTAACACCTATAAGCATATAGCATCTACACTTTAAGTGTATTTACAAATTCAACAAAATATCTACATATAAAAAGCTTTACTTAAAATTAAACTTGATGCAAGTTATGAGAAACCAATTTATTGGCAAATGAAACTGAGCATTCCTTCAACCATAGGTTGTTATAGATTTTCATATTTGGAGGCAACCCATTTGATAGATATTGTTTATGAATATGATAGAAGATACACTTACTTTTTAAACTGCAGATGTAATCCCTTGGACCATTGGCCTTTTAAGCACTTGTCAGATTTCTTAGATTCTGAAATGTGTCTGTAGCAATTTGCATACACACTGCTTAATGCTGCAGAGTTTTGAACTCACATAGGTAAAGTCTTGGAGAATAATATATTACTGTTGGCATGCTATTGTATGCTTTTGGCGTTAGAATAACTTAATTTTTAAAATTAATTTTCTAGCATGTAGACACCTTTCTTACTGAATGCAGCAGAAGCCATAAAGGACCACAAAATCATTATGTGCTTCAGCTGGTGACAAAGCTTTTCTTTTTATGCTTATGAGGAAATGCTATTTCAAATAAACTGTCTCATTATTTTTATTTTTCATGTTTCCTTCTTTTCCCAGCATTGCAGTTTTCATGAACTCTGCTTTTTAAAAGTTACTTTTAGACAATGACAGTAATCTAGGACTCAGAAGGGACCGCAGCAGCTAATACAGAATGCAGTACGTTATGGAATGCTTAATGTCTGAAGGCACTGTATGTGTCTTGCCCTGTGTCCTCTGGAGTAATGTTTGAAATTTAATTTGAATGACTTGTTTTTGATTCTTTCAGTATGGCACAAATGCCGAAATGCATTGCAATACACATTGTTTATGCCTAAAAACAACGGAACACAGAAAGGATGTACAAAGTAGAACACTGTGCTGCTGTAATGCCTGGACGATTAAGAAGCCTATGGAGTAACAGGAGCCAAGAGCAGGTAATAGTTCTCAGTAAGCATCAGCAATGCGACTGTCATAATGAACTCATTTAGCAAATATATACTGTACATACTGTTCCTAACAGTCTCCCAAAAAGACTAACGACAGCTAGACATAGAGTCACCAATTTCACAACAATGTCCACAAAGACATTGAAGTCCTAGAGAATACTACAGTAACACTCCTGACAATGAAAACGGAATTCATATTTAGGGGTTCAGCTGAGGATAGTATAAACAAAGTATCAAACCATGTTTTCATAACATACACGGGGATGTCCTTTAAATGTGGAGCATTTTTCATGCATCATATTGAGCTGTATCCTGAAGAGGAAAGAACAGGATCTGTTGGTGATGTTGCATTATTTTTTCTCAGTTCTGAGGAAATCAAGAATACCCATTTTGAATGAAAAAGTATGCACTTTGCATTCCAGTTCACATTAACATATCATTTGACTGGGTTACGTTTTTGCTCTAAGTATTCTCATAATATTAACATACAGCAGAAAACACACTCTCTACCCATATGTTCATAGTATGAGAGGGCTGACGAACAAGTGCCTAGGATAAACATTCTAGAGAAATGGGATATTGGCAAAGAGCTTAAAAATTAAACAAAGGAATTCATGGCATTGACAGGAGAAGGTGCCTCTGAGCTTTCGTTTCCTTCAGCCGGTTCTTTCTCTTTCTTACCACTGTATTGTCCAATAAAGGAACCATCCTCATTGAACTGGCCGTTCACCCCTTCTCCATAGTCAACCAGGCTGTCATCACTGTCTTCTTTTTTCACAGTCCTGTCTGAAGGAGTTCGACTTCCTTTTTTCAAAGGCTTGTGGTCTTCCGCGTCACTGGAAGAAAGAGAAAACATTTTTGTCAAGATTGGCCTTTGGTAACATTTTCTGTTTTTAAAGATCATGCATGCAAATTATGAGAAAGCGTTTGGAGTCCTGGGCTTCTCTGACCAATGAAGAGGGTGAGTTGGAATGGAAATTAGGAGCAGAAATGGTTGAATAATGAAGTCCTCAGTAGAGTGGATGGCTCCCAATTGTGCATGTTAATTTCAATGACAAATTCTGATTCCTGAGTTGAAAGCAATCCAGAAATAATCACAAGCATTAAATAAGAAAGAATTGAGAAAAGTAGAAACACCATCACTATTTTGAATTCAAAAAGGCAAAAGCTTATGGCAAATAAAGAAGTTAGTATGTTAAACTGCAAACTATCTCTGATTCCCTGGATGTGAATGGAGCATGATTTTGGTTAAGTGTGAAATATGGATATATATTTTTTTTCTGAGACAGAAGGAGAAGCAAAATCCTGCATTTCAAATAATTTTGTTATCAATGCAGGCCAGACTGGTAAACTTCAACCTTACCTTTCAAGAGACCTACAAATCCCATTAAAAGGATGCAGAAGAAACAAATGAAAATAGCCTAAGAAGAAAAGCAAAATCCTTATACTGATAGTACACAGTATTTTTTTTTGGTAAGAATTTTAGTTAATGAGTAAATATTTATTAATCTGGAAAGAGACACATTTTAACTTAAAAGCACTACATTTGTACTATGAATGGCATGCCAATATATTCTAAAGAATGTGAATGATTCCAAACATGTAATAGCAAACCCTTCCTAGGCTCATGTTCACCCCCCAGCTCCCTCCTCCCATGTGTGTTATGTAGCCTGACCGTGTTGGATGGGAATCTGAGGAGTGTACCTTAATATGACTTTATAAGATTCCATTATTATTCTTTTTTGCTTATTTCTCTGTTGAACCCCTAAGCACAATTTCTGAAGTCAAAGAGTAATCATTATGTTTTAGACTGTTCACCCATGTGAAATGACTAGTTGTGCACATTGACCTATTTGTTAATAGGTAACATTTGGGGAAAAAACATAGAAAAAGTCAATGACAGTATCCAACATTTTGTTTTCTTTCAAAAAATGAAAATGCAAGGCAAAATAGGAAATATATATAGCATTAGTAAAAATGGAAAAGCCTTAATATACAAAAGGCATCACTGGCTGCAGTATTTAATCTAGCAATTTGTGCTAAGTCTTTACTGCTCCCTCTGTTTCAGTGACTTTTTTTTTTCTAGCCAAGATACAAATATTTCAAGATCTATAAGTATATTGGCTCCTTTGACAATAACTTTTACTAGGGATTTCAATTTTTCTCCAAGAAGAAAATCTCAAGACTGAGAAAAAATGCTGGCATGATGTAGCAGTGGCGTATGCCATTGAAAACAACCTGTTTCAGTAATAGATGATTACTTGCTGCAAACTGAATTAGCTATAATGTCACTACTGCTAACAAACAACTGGAGAGGTATCATCTTGGGGTGGGCTGTGTTTGGGGGAATTTCAGAGGACAAAGCACTGAGTGTCTAATCTGTTATGAAAATAGCTGACACAGCATCCCTGAGTTTAGTTATTAAGTACTTCCTGTGAAATATAGGTCCTGTTCTGGTGTGACTGTTAAGTCAGCTGAAGAGTTCAGTAATAGGCAGAATTTTGTCACCTGGATTCCAATGGTTAGTCGTATTCTGCTCTGCAGAACTAGCATCCCAAGGAATACACTACTGGAAGTTGCCATCTGTGGCATTTCTTTGGTCTAGCCATCTATCCACCCATCCCTTCATCCAATAAGTGCTTACTGAGTGCCTACTCTAAGACAGACTATTCTAGGCACTGGGAATATAGCAGCAAACAAAATAGACTAAAACCCTGACCTTATTTTTAGGGAGGAAAATACAATTAACAATCAACATAATACAAATTATGTGTATTTTATGTTAGGAGATGATTATCACCATGCAAAGTAGAGAGCTAAGTAAAGATGACAGAAAGTGTTGGAGAAGGGATGAAAAGTTGGCATTTAAATAGGATGTCCAGGAAGGCCTCAACAAGCAGTGATATATGGTCAACAACTTTAAAAGAGTAGATTTAGCAGAGTGGATAGCTGGAGGGAGAGCAGTTCCTGCAGGAGTAACAAGCAGTATAAATGCCATGAGGTGAGGGCAAGCCTGGCATGTTCCAACACTAAGGAGCTTGGTGTGACTGAATCGAGAGAGAGAGAAAGAGAGAGAGAGAGAGGAAAAGAGAGAGAGAGAGAGACAGAGAGAGACAGAGAGAGAGAGACAGAGTGAGAGGAAGGAAGAGAGAGAGAGAGAGAGAGATAGAGAGAGAGAGAGAGACAGAGAGAGAAGTAGGAGTTAAGGTAAGCGGGGGTGGCAGGGCTACACCAGGGCCTGTGGGACATTGTAACAATGCTGCCTTCATCTCTGAGATAGGAAGCCCTGGGAGGGTTTTCAAAGAATAAGTGACATGCTCTGGCTTACATTTTAAAAGCACTACTCTGTTATCAGTGTTGAGAATAGCCTACCTTAGAGGGCTGGGGTTAGTAAACTATAGCAAAATTAGGCCATGCCCATTTATTACATAATGTCTATGGCTGCTTTTGCGCTACAATAGCAGAATTGCAGAGTTGCAGCAGAGACTATGTGGCCTGTGAAGTCTAAAATATTTAGTTGGCCAACCTCTGCTCTAGAGAGTCAGGGGAGAATATTACAACGATCCAGGAGTAAGATGACTGTGATTTGGATCAGAGTGGAACATTGGAGGTGGTATAAAACGCACAGATTATGAACACATTTTGAAGGTAGACCCAACAGGATTTCCTGATGGATTAGATATGGAATAACAGAGAAAAAGATGGCGCCAGGATTTTTGGTTTGAGCAACAGTAAGCTTGGAAGTACTGTTACTATGGAGTGAAGCATGTTGACAGGGAAAAATCAATGGTTCAGTTTTGGGCATATTAAAGTTTAAATATATCATGAGAACTACTCCTTTAATCATTTTATGAGGCTAGTATAACACTGATATCTAAAACCAACAAGAACACTCTAACAAAGTAAAATTACAGGCTAATCTCATTCATGAACATAGATGAAAAAACCACAAACAAACTATGACCAATTAAATTTAGCAATCTACTAAAAAGATAATATTTCATATCCAGGTTGAGTTTATTTCAGGAATGCAGGCTTATTTTAGCATTAAAACATCAATTCAGGCCGGGTGCGGTGGCTCAAACCTGTAATCCCAGCACTTTGGGAGGCCGAGGCGGGTGGATCACAAGGTCAAGAGATCGAAACCATCCTGGTCAACATGGTGAAACCCCGTCTCTACTAAAAATACAAAAAATTAGCTGGGCATGGTGGCAGGTGCCTGTAATCCCAGCTACTTAGGAGGCTGAGGCAGGAGAAATGCCTGAACCCAGGAGGCGGAGGTTGCGGTGAGCCGAGATCGCGCCATTGCACTCCAGCCTGGGTAACAAGAGCAAAACTCCGTCTCAAAAAAAAAAAAAAAAAAAAAAAAAAAAAAATCAATTCATATAATTCATCATTTTAGCAGAAGAAAATAAAAATATCTATGATAATCTCAGCAAATTTAGAAAGAGGTATATGAAAAAATTCAATACCCATTCATGATAAAAACATTAGGAATAGAATGTATTTTTATTCCTAACATTAGAAACATATTTATTTTTAACATGAAGAAAGAGAATCCTTCATTAACCTGATTAAGGGTAGCTATAAGAAACCTAAAGTAAACATCATCCTTAATGGTAAACATTGGAAACTTTGCTTAAAATCAGAAATAATAATAATGATGGCTGCTGCCACCACTTCTAATCAAAACTGCATTAAAAGTCCTAAGCAATTTGATAAGAAAAAGAAATAGATGAAAGGAAGCTATCATTATTCATAACTGATAAGACTGTGTATGTAGAAAAGCCAGAAGAATCTATAGGTAAATGTTAGAATAAAAAGAGAGTTTAGTAATGTTGCTTGATACAAGATTAGCATAAGAGTCCATTTTACTTCTGCTCTTGCAAACAATTAGGAAATAAAATTTCAAATATTATTCCATTTCTAATACCATAAATATGAAGTATATAAAGACAAATCCAACAAACATATGTGGAAGACCTCCAAAGAAAATAAAAGTTTTATTCAGAGTTATTAACGATCTGAATGAATGGAGGAACATTCCACATCCATGGATGGGAGACTCAGATACAGCAAATATGTTAACCTTCCCTATATTGCCCTTTAGCTGCAATTTATTTCTGGTAAAAGCTCAGCTGGTTTTTATGTGGATCTTGGCAGGCTGATTCTAAGATGTACAAATAAAAGAAAAGGGCTAAGAATATCTAAAAGGCTCTTGAAGAAGACAAGTAAGGTTAGAGAACTGAACCTAGCACATATCAAGACTTATTAAAACCTACATTATTAAGACAATATTGTTTTGGTGCAGAGATAGACAGATTGGCCAGTGGAATGGAATACAGGGTCTTGAAACCGGTGGAAGATCTTTTCGTTGGCTTTATTCCTACGTCATATTTTTATGCTATCGTAACAAGAATAATTTTTAAAATCTTATTTTCCAATTGCTTGCTGGTTGGTACCTAGAAATATAATAGACTTTTACGTTAATTTTGTGTCAAGCAACATTACTAAACTCTCTTATTATAATATTTGCTTTTTGATTCATTTGGGTTTTTACATACAAAATCATATCAGTTATGGTTAATGACCAGCGAAGAAGGGGCTCCCCCGAAGCATCCGTTCATTACAGCTTAACGGTTGTGGCAGAGGAGAGAATCACCAGCAACACCGGCTGTGCTTGAAAGAAGAGAAGAAACTGGGATGCTCCCTCCTCTAATGGTCTTTCCAGAAAAAGCCATTCAAAGTCAGCGAGATCTTTTTAAGTCCAGTCTTTATTAAGTGTCGTGATATAATATCTTACTGTAATAATTAGAATCTGATTAAATGAGAAAAAATTATATAAGTCATAGGCACAGTGCTGGCACATGGTTTGTGTTCAACAAGTATAAGCGTCCATCTCCATCAACCTCTTCTCTCTACTCTAGGCCCCTACTTCAGAGATTTGTTTTTTCCAAGAAATATCTTGTGTAACACACACACAGAGCTTTCCAGATGTGTTACGTGGTTACAACTCTGTGTGACACACTGTATTAGGGCTTGCCTTTTTCAACTCCAAGATGAATTTTGTGATGAAATAGTAAATAATATTCTGCTTTTGACATTGTATTCAGTAAAATTGCCATGTCAAGTTTCAATATGAAAGGGGAGTTTCCCAAATGAGATGAATCAATAAGTCACAGATGATTTAAAAGTCATATAGATATATATGACTCTCTCTCTCTCTCTCTCTCTCTCTCTCATATTTAGCAGTGTAGCAGTCAAAGCTTTACAAAACAAGTAAAAATTCATTCACATTTTAATGAGAATGTTTAAGGATGGTGTGTATCAGATATCAACTATTAGTTCTGGATATCAAAGGTTGAATGGATTTCAAAATAAGATATATATAGCTACAACATATCCAGTATATAAGTATTGATACAATATCCAGTATATTCTTGATACTTACATTCATGAATCAAGATCAATTTTGCAGTGGAAAGAAATGTTCCTATCACAATGCTAACACTGCATGACTTCCCATGGGAAGACTCCCTGTGCCACCCTCCTTCTATGCTGCCCACCTGGCTTCAGCTTCCTGCTCCTGTTCTCTTGGTACCTTAGTTATATCTCTTCTATGGCACTTTTCACACTGGTCATTGTTCCTTTACTTCCCTGCACCCATCACTAGGCTATAAATGCCCAGTATGGAACCAAATCCTATTGGTTTGAATATTCCAAAAGCCTGGCATACAGTAGGCACTCAATAAATACTGGCAGAATGAGTTCACTGTAAAATAATAAAAGAGACAGTGGGCATTTTAGAAACTAAAGAAAAATTTGAACATAATTTCATTCCCTCTTAGTTTCATGATGGCAGACAAAGCACTGGAATATATCCTTTCCTTTCTCTTACCCTAAGAATAAATTTTTAGGGAGTCCAAACCGTTTTTCAACAGCAATTTGTTCAGAAGTGTGCACATCCATTAAATCCTACTGAGTACAATTTGGCAACAGCAGGTAAATCTCTGATAATTCTGTCTGATTTTCCTGTTGTTACCACCCTCCCACGGCCAAACCACATTGCACCTCTAGTGACATTCATGACCCGAATACTCTTTCCTACCTACTCTCTGAAAGTCCATTATTATTCTTCTCACAAACCAGTTCATGTTTTGTGAGCAAAATAACTCTAATGTATGTAACAAATGTGCCACATCTTGGTATCATTCAAGCCTTATAAGCATGGGTTAGCATGCTTGCCACAAGCCCATGTTCACATGAATGACAAGATTCGTGTGGCAAGAGCCACCTATTATGTAGTAAGTTATGAGTTCAAGTAACATGGGCATATGGTTTATGACCTAGGTTTATTCTGGTCTTAAGGAAAATGGATCTAAAGAATAAAAAAATACTTACACTGTTGGTTGCATTGTTTCTCTGATTTTTCTATATGCTAGTAAGGATGCAGATCCTACTGTCTGTATAATTAAAGAAACAAACAAAGAAAGCTGCAGGCTTCCACCAGAGGGTAACTGCTTGGGGGTGGGTGTCAGAGTAAGGGCACAGGGTTATAGCATATAATCACATTTGGCCACCAGTGAGGTTCTATCCCCCTTTGCACTCTAAAATAATATCATCTGGCTCAGAGCCAGCCATGTAGAAAAGGTTTCATCCTCAGACTAGAGAATCAGCAAATCAGAAATGGGAATTAATTAACACTTAGGCAATAGTCCTAATTTTGTGTATGTCTGATTGGCATAATAATCGCTCTTGGAATGAAAGACAGTAAGAATCAATAAATAATACAGAGCTCAAAACTTACAGAAGGTGCAAAGTAGAGACAGGACCCTGGTGATTTCAGGAAGTGAATGACACTTAAATGTATTATTAAAAATGTAAGATTCTGTTAATAAATAGTTGGAACTGTTTTCATTAATCACAGCCTCTAAGATAAACATTTTTTAATTTCTTTAAATAAAAAATAAACCAAAGGAAAAACATTCTGAGCTAGTGTCAGGAAATCGAAGGACAAAGCCCTGTCTTTGTAAATCAAAGTAAAAAAACTGGTTGGAATTTTGGGGAAGTGATTTTGCTTGTGGGATTGTCCTTATGAACTTTTAGTTTCATTTTAAAAATGACATCATTGAGTTATGTTTCGAGTTGAAGACACCCATCAGAACCTTATTTCCTTTGGCACCTCCCAAATTTACATCATTACATGTATGACAAGTTTACAGGTGTTTCTGTCTTCCTGTCAGTTGGGTTTGCACTCAATAAGCCCAAACAAAAAGTCTTTCTTTCCTGAGAAACTAAGGCCTAAGCTAAAGACAGCTACTTGAAAACACTTCACCAACACAGTACATATAAATTAACACTAAGACAAAGAAATATGACCAAATAGATGTAAACACAGTGATTATGAGGCTAGTAACCAAATACTTGCTATGTACTGCTCCAGACAGAAAATTATATTAAAGTTGTTAGCAGATGGCTTGTAGAAGAAAATACAAATCACAGAACTATGAATCACAGGCAATGGCTGAGTTGAAAGTAAAACTAACAGTCTTTTAATTCCAAGCTTGTTCATAAAAGTCAACCTCCATTTTTTTTTTTTAAATAGTTCCATGGGGGTTCATGTGCAAGTTTGTTATGTGGATACATCGTGTAGTGGTGGGGTTTGGGCTTCTAGTATACCATCACCCAAATATCGACCTTGATTTTAATCAAGTTTTAATGGAGTAGGCAGCAGTTTTCTGGGAAAGTCACATGACCTCAGATCATGGTTTCACATTGCTATAATAGCAAGTTGATGTTTGATTCCCACGTGGTGAGCAGTACATTGCCAGATTCATTGACGCATGATAATGTAGAATAGGAACCCATCACCATGGAGAATGTATGAAGAACAATGGCTTATTTCCAATTCATGCAAATACATGTTTTTTTCAGGCCATGTTAAAGATTTTGCTTCATCACAATAAATAAGGGAGTGGTTTGCATATCCTGTAGAGAATTATAGCCACAAGAACTCTAAAAATAAGAAATTATTTAGTAATTGTCAGCTTACCTGCTTTACAGGAGAAACATGTATAAGGGTGAATTATTTCAGCAAAGCTCTACTCATCCAGATACCCTAGGCTATGGGCTTCTGTAGGCTGCTCTAATGTGTTACAAAAACCTCTTGGGTGAATGACTGTGGATACTACATGAGGTTTTTATGCACTTTCAGCTCCAGAACCAAATTCTGACATCAAGACAACCCTCACTAGGCATTTTTCTGTACCATGAGATACAGAAATTCTGAGGACTTTCTGAAACTATAGTTATCTCTCTTTAAGAGATCAAAATATAAAAACTTAGGGGCTGAGATAATAAAGAAAAAATACAGGTATCTGCATGGAAATTGATATGAAAATAATTTTATTGAAAATATATGTCTTTTTCTCAATCAGTTCTCTATTTTTTATCCTTAGCATTATGTCACATGAAAGTATGATATTCTATGATACTGACATGATAGTGACATGGAAAAACCAAAAATGAGCTCTACAGACAAGTAAAACTTAACATAAATATCTTCTCCACAAATGTTGCCTTGTAATCACAATAGTGAAATATTTCATTTCACCTAAAGCCTCTTCATCTTGCAAACAATGTCTCAAAATGAGCTAATGCATAATATAAGAGATTTTATGTAAGCAAGAGGCTTCTAAAAAGAAAAAAAAAACAAAGTACAAAAGGTATTTTTAAAAGGCATACTTTTAAAATAACAGAATCCCCACATTTTATTCTAATAAATACATATTTTGTTTTTAAACAAATCTAAAATAATCTTTTCTTTCAATTGAAAAGATATATCTTTGTTTAAAAAAATTTTTTTAAAAATTTAGCACATAGGTTATATTAACATTTTCCCTTAATGATGGAGTCAAGCCAGAACCTATTATCAAAGTTCTGTGAGTAACACATTGCCCAGAGGACTATGATATTTCTTAATAATTAACAGCTTCTAAAACAATCTAGTCACCATTTCATGATTAATGGGCAAGGGTATTGTTTAGGAAAACTAGCTTCAAATTCTAGATGAGAAAGTCTGTTCACACTGGTTTTATTACAGCGTGTTTAGAAAATGACAAGTTTTCTTTACAATGCAGGCTTTGGAGGGTCTTCTCTGTTGTTTTAATGCTCATAGTAACACACTGGCTTTGCTTGATTGATCAGCATAGCATGGGCCTATGGAAAATGTGACAAAGTGGGAGACGTTCCACCTCCAAAATCATGACTAAAATCAAAATTTATTTTTTTAATGAAAAATGAAAATGTTTGACCATGAGGGACACGTAAACACTGAGACATGGAAGTATCCCTAAACATACATTTGAGGAAAATATGAGATGCCAGGCAGAGCATGTCCTGGCTAAGTTCCATTCTTGGGACTGTGGTGATGTGGGCAGAGAAGATGAAGAGCAGAGAAGCAGGGACTCACCTGTATTCTCCAAACGTCCCATCGTCTTCCTTCATAGGCTGGATTTCAGGGTCAGCATGGGCATCTTCCTTTTCTTTAACTAAAAATTTCAAAAAGATATTATTATCTATTGATCTTGTTTTTTCTTATTCAAAGTCCATGAGAGTATTCTTTGAGATATATACAGCAGTGAAAAATAATTCTATACACAAGTAGATGTTGTAAAATCATATATAGTGGCCATGCATATATTCTGGTGTTTTAGTGATTTTTGAGGCAGCCCAATAGAATGTACATTTCTTAATACATAAAGTTGACTAGTCTCTCACTTGATAAAGAAATAATATTTAAGTTTCTAAGATTTTCCCCTACTTTATCAATCTATTTAGTAGCTATATTAATGGTTGCAAGTTGTTTTTGTAAGTTTATTCTTTCACAGATTTTTTTTCTTGTCACTGAAGGGAAAATGGTCAGGTAAAGAAAATATAAATTTAATGGACCCACTAAATTGAATAAAACATTAACCTTATAGGGAAAGCAATGTTACACATCACAATATCAAGACTATCAGGACTTAGTTCATGTATTACTTCCTCTGAAAAACTCTCTACGCACCTTCCCCCCAACTCTCCTCTTGACAGATGGTTTTAGGTATTACTTAGGCATCCATAACTTACGTGCAGTCTAACAGTAGACTCACTAACAGATGGTTTTAGGTATTACTTAGGCATCCATAACTTACGTGCAGTCTAACAGTAGACTCACTAATGTTTTCAAAGAACAGATTGATTTACTTCTCCAAATGCCTTATGATCGTTGACAATGTTAAACTGCCATTATATAAAGTGGGATCAAAAGTCATTTGAAGAGAAAGTCCAAACTCATGGCTCTGAGAAGACATGATATTACAATCTACATGATTATCCTCATGATTTCTTTTTAGTTTTTTTTTTTTTTTTTTTTTTTTTTTTTTTAGACGGAGTTTCACTCTTGTTACCCAGGCTGGAGTGCAATGGTGTGGTCTCGGCTCACCGCAACCTCCGCCTCCTGGGTTCAGGCAATTCTCCTGCCTCAGCCTCCTGAGTAGCTGGGATTACAGGCACGCGCCACCATGCCCAGCTAATGTTTTGTATTTTTAGTAGAGTCGGGGTTTCAGGATGTTGACCAGGATGGTCTCGATCTCTTGACCTCGTGATCCACCTGCCTCGGGATTTCTTTTTAGTTTAATGGATTATTACGTAGCATTACAAAGCAGTTTTAATGTTTCTTTCTTACCTGGATATTTACCACCCTTGTTTCTTCTGATGAAGCAAACAATCAGCAAAATTAAGATAAGGAGAGCCACAGCACACATGAGACCAATGAACCAGCCCTGAGTTGCAATATCCACCTGCCGGCTTGCCATCGCTGGAAAACAAATCGACGGTGTTGGTGGCAATAGGTTAAGGGGAGATGGGAACTACTGCAGTCTCTTAGAGTAAAAATTGTCACATTATGTGAGCTTTCATGTATTTTACATGTGGCCTCAAAGTAGGATCTGCCAATTATTAATTGGGAATTATATAAATATTTAACTTTGAAAAATCTTCATTCATTAAAAAATTCAAATAGAGAAAGCCGAATAATAATATTAAATGCTAACAAACTCTGGTGAACATTGCATTTTTATTCTCACTAAATATTCTCAATAAAAACATATTCCTAAACCGATTAAAGTATTCACTGTTTACAGGATACATTTTACATAAACTACATTGAGAAAAATATAAAACTGAGCTTTAAACAGAACAGAATATATACATCTAAGTGAGTATCTTCTCTTCAAAGACACTGCTTTTAGAGTGCCTTTGCACTCTAAAACTGTCATTGCAAGGCTATTGCCATTTTCAATATTTTAAAAAAATCTGTTAAAAAATAAAATGGTCCATACAAGAAACATTTCCAGATCAGGAAAACAACTGTATTGTTTTATAAAACATCTCAATTGGCACCCAAAATATTACTTAGATTTGCTATTCATCTCATTCACAAGAGTTGGTTCTGAGTGGAAATTTCTGAAAAACCAAATTCACCCTCAAAGAATCAATAATTGTTATGGCTAAGGATCCATTCAAAAGACTGGAGTATCTCTTGGTCAGTGAAATCATTATTTGCCTAAGTGACCAGTTTGAAAAGAAGGTACTCACTTATGTGTATACATATCCTTTCAGTTTGCATCTATTCTGCTTGAGTAAATAAATGTGAAGCCCCTTATTCCATCAGTCACAATATGCAAAACTTCTAAGAAAACCACAGAATAACTAGCATTTTGGCTATTATTTAAAAGTATCAATCTTATGGGAAAAAGTGCAGCATCAATGGCTATTCAGACATGCCCATGAGGATTTGCTTAAATTAACTGGTATAAATTCTTTTTTTAAAAGACTTTTATTTTCTCTCTTTTGACCATAATCCATATAAAACATTTTCTTCTTTTGACTCCATAAGCAGGTTTATATCATGCTTTTAATTTGGTTGAATTTCTTCTGAATATATTTTACATGGTTGAGTTAGGTGTGTGTGATCTCTGGATGCAGAAATAAACATGACTACGCATATCCCAGGTTCTGCTAGTTGCAAAAATAGCATCTCATTGCCTTTTTTTCTCCATATGAAATTTAGGGAGAAAAAAGGAAATGCTAAAAATTAAATGTGAAGAGGAAGGTAAAAAAAAATGGACATATGTAGAAGAAATAAAATGAGAAGCAAAAATACATTATTTGAAAAACAAGTCAAAAGCTGGTAGCCTTTTCCCAATCGGTCCTTGTGCCTCATTAGTTAGAGAAGTTTTGAGCTGCTTCAAAGCCACACACAAGTAAAGCACCAGGTTACGTAGATTCCCCCTTTCCATACACATGCCATAGTCATGATGATGAAGATGAAGACAATGGTAATAACACTGACAGCTAACATTTGTGGACCCTTACCATAGGCTAGGCACTGTGCTGAAGGTATATCTCATTTAATCTTTACAACAATTCTCCGAGATAGGCATCAGGAATAAATCCATGCCCAAGGAAGACAAAGAACTTGCCCAAGAGTTGGAGCAACCTGTGTCTGACCGACTCCAGAGAATATGCTACAAGCCATTATATTATATTGCTGTCACGCATTCCTGAAAACAATCCAGACATCAAACCTGCACAAGTCTTAAGTTAAAGAATAAAACGCCAGAGAAACTTCCTATTCCGAGACAGGCAAAAAGGTATTAAAACTCCATCATTACATCCTCTTTGGCAGTATGTTTCTTTCAATTAATGCCTGGTCTTTCTGTGCTTTTTCTCCAAAACTGAACCAAATACCACATGGCATTAAGTCTCTTAAGCATTTGACTAAAGTTAGAGTTCTTGTTTTTAGTGTGCTTGTCATAAAAAGATTCAGCATTTACATTTTTCATCTAATTAAATGCAACTAAAAGGGGAAAAATAAGATACTCAGGTACTAGCGCAGATATTGCTCTACAAGGATGGTGACTGCCAAAATTGACAGGCAGCTTGCTGCTAGGCAACCATGAAAAAATGGATGGATGTTTGATGGGTGGTAAACAAACATCCAAACTGACTTTGAATTTCTGCCTCTACGCCTAAAGAAAAATACTATCGAATATTTCACTGCCCTATTATCTAAAACAGGCAGGCACAATATGGTAATAGGTACATGTGTGCACACACACAGTCACATTCAGACACACACAAGTGCACCAGAAATTGACATAAAACAGAAATTGTGTAAATATAAATAACAATTTCTATCTACTTTCCATCAATGAAAGAAAATATTTAAATTGCAGAATGATTAAAAGAGGCTTCAAGCTTTCTCAGGAAGATCTAAAATCATCTGGGACATACAAATCCAAGCCATAACCACCATTGTGCATAACATACCCACACACACACACACACACACACACACACACACACACACACACACACAGAGAGAGAGAGAGAGAGAGAGAGAGAGAATTAAACCTATGGGGCTTTTCCTTCTAGAATCAGTTTCAATTGGTGGGTATCACCCATTGAAGGGCTGGGTAGGGCTGGGTAGTAGAGTAAAAGAGTATCTTCATTATCTGAATTTTTTAATAATAAAATTATATTCATGTATTATTTGAGTAATCCACAAAATGATAAACACGTATAAAGAATATGAAAATAGAAAATCAGGCAGAAGAATGAGATTTGCTTTGTTTACTGGAAGTCGGATTTACAACAGTCTTCTGCTCTGGCGTTGCTTGCTGTCATGGATACTCTGTGCTCTGTGGTAGGAGGTCTCTGAGGAAAACGCTCTTGAGTCCTCAGAACCGCAGAATCAACATGGAAGAGGCAGGGTGAGGGAAATGGTTATTTGTTCTATACCATTTATGAAGAATGCACTATGGATGAAAATGTCCTGTTCAAATGCTTAGAAATGTTTAGGAAGAGCAAACTGTGACCTTAACCAATATTTGGAGACAATTGACAAAAAAACTGTTGGGTCTAGTGAAAACCAATGTTTTAAACCCTTTGTGATGACAACAGAGGCTGGGTAATTGAGGGACAGAGGTAAAAGAGGAAGGAGAGGAGGTGGATGGCGTTAATGAGAGGTCATACCTGGCCATACCAGATGGGGTGGCACTAATGAGAGGTCAAACGGGGGTGGGGAGTGGGGCTAATGAGTGGTCATACCAGGCGGGGTGGCGGTAATGAAAGGTCATCCCAGTAGTACGGGGAGGAAGCACAGCATTGGGACACTACGTGTCTTGATTGTTGTTCAGCTTGTGCCATAGGAAAAAAATTAAGAAATATACCTTAAAAATCCAGACTCTAGAAGGGAGAGATGGTATAATGGTAGGAAGATTCATGAAACAACTGTAGATGAAAGTTGAGTGTAAGGTCCTAAAATCAGCAGAACTCAGGGAAAGAGAGAAGCAGCTCATGAATGCAGAGTTCAAAAAGTAGCCAATGATACGATTTCATGCCAAATACTGACATCCTTACACCGCGGAACCCAGCAGGAAGAGAGGAGGGGCAGGAGCAGTGGAAGGCAGGGCGTTCACACCAGAGTTAACCCAGCAGCCCCAAAGTACAGAGCGTTGTGAACTGGGAAAAGAAGGCAGCATAATGGTAAACTGAGGCATTCTAGAATGCTGGCAGCATTTGCTCTTACAGGTAATGTGTTAACTAAGGGTCATGAGTTTAATCAATATTTGTTCTTTTTAATACATTTAGATGTAAAAAGTGACAAGAACTGGTTGGGACCTTGTCCTGTCTCTCCATCACTGGCACACAAGAAGGCCCACCTATCACAGTTCCTCGCCTCAAACTATCTAGCAGTTGCTGCTGGAATTGTAGGCATTACACTGCTGAGTGAAAAATAACTTTCCAAAGGGTTGTCTTTTGTCCTGTAAAAGGACAAAAAATGCTGCCACTTGATTTTAAGGGTGAATCTAACTTCAGCTTAAGTCACTTTTTCCTTTCCTAAACATTTCTAACAATTTTAACAGGTCACTTTCAACATAGATTCTTCATAAATAGTCCAGAACCAGTATCCATGTGCAGCCCACGGGGATCCAGAATCACTGATTGGATTCACCAAGTGTTGACAGAAGCTGCCCTTTCAGAGACAGCCTGCCCCCTCCCTCCTTGGCCTGTGGATGTTTGTGACCTTGTACAGTGGGTATAGCGAGGACCTTTCTTCTGCAGAGAGAAGGACAAGCTTCTAATCCCAGCTACACCACGTTCCTGCTGAGCAACCTGGAAGGTACTGCACCTCTCTGACTTGAGAGGTAAATGGAGTAATAATGGTGCCTGCATCACAGGATTGTTGTAAGGACTGAATGAGAAAAACACTTATTGAGACTTATGAGAACTTACAACTTATGAGAAAGCCTGCTGTATAGGAGAGCTGACTAAATGTTAGTCCTGTTACTACTACTAGCCTTCCAGCTATATATGAAGAGAATATGTACTTGCGCTTTTAGTATTTTGAAAATCAAAGTTATCAATAACAACAAACAGGTATCTTGTAAACTAGCTATGAATTGATTAGATACTCCCCTTCTAAGTTTAACACACTGGTTTCCTAGTACTATGTACATAAATGGATATAAAATACAAAGAATGGAATAACAGAAAATGTGTTGTTTTCTTAAAACATTATGATTTTAGCAAATGAATATCTTTAAAATATAGTTTAATACATTATTGTTGGTTTCTTTTTTAAAACCACTTAATCGTATGTTTTTCTAAACTGTAAAAACTGACTTTAAAAATCATAATGCTTCATTAATGAAAGTCACAAAAAATACATTGTGTAATGTATTCTACAGGATATGCACATTTCTTTAAGAATGCATGGAGTGACTGAAAATAACATGGAGGTATGAACCACAGAGTGAACAGGTACCACAAACAACCCTTGTTTAAATGTAAGTAGCAGGGATTGTTCTCCATCTAGTGAGCAAATACGAATGTTCTCGTATTTCACGTGAACATTTTTCTTTATTTTGGAAACTTTATTTTTCCCTTGTGTATTTTGATAATATTCATTTAAGTAAATATATACAGGCAGTAAAATTTGGTGTGATAAAATAATGTAGCATATGAATTGTATAAGTTCTTGTTTCACACAAATGTAATAATATCTGTATCAGTTGTCTAAGCAGACTGCAGGGTTCTGCTGGGTTGTAGGCCATTTTGAAATAAAGAATTGTGACTTTTTTTTTTCTTTTTTGAGACGGAGTCTTACTCTGTTGCCCAGGCTGGAGTGTAATGGCGCAATCTCGGCTTACCACAAACTTTGCCTCCTGGGTTCAAGTGATTCTCCTGCCTCAGCCTCCTGTGTAGCTAGGATTACAGGTGCCCACCACCACACCCAGCTAATTTTTGTATTTTTTTTGTAGAGACAGGGTTTCACCATGTTGGCCAGGCTGGTCTTAAACTCCTGCCTGAGGTGATCCGCCTGCCTCGGCCTCCCTAAGTACTGGGATTACAGGCGTGAGCCACCATACCCGGCCAGAATTGTGACTTTCTTATAAGTTGTTTCATCTTCAAAAGCATTTTAAAAATTTCAGTTTAACTCTGAAGGAAAGTTTAGACATGTGATATTAACAATTGAATTCTTTAAATAATATAAATTAAAATCATATTTAAGACTATTTTTGTGATTTTTTTGGTAATTATGTGGCTAGAAGATGATTTGCTAAATTCTGTAATTCATTTGATATAAAGAACCAAAGTCAAAAACCAAAACTCCCAACCCAACAGGGCCCCATAGAAAGACATTCATGCCCTACCCATAACACAGCTCCACCAGCCCCCACCTCCAGCTGGAGCACCTGGCGGCCTCCACCTCTGAGCGGGAGCCTCAACAGGTGTGGTGTATGCCTCACCTGGGCCCGTCTCAAACACAGCCTCTGAACTCACAAAACCAGAGTCCCCCACTGCACCAACTCGAACTTTGTATGCTGTTCCTGGCATTAGACCCTTTAACCCAAAGAAGCTCCGAGAACCATTTACAATTTCTTTTCTCCATTCTTCTTTGCCTATGGAAATTTTGCAAAAACAACAAATTTGAATATTTTAACGGACCAGAAGTCACTTAATGCTTCAAGAAAGGAAAATTCTTTATAAGCTCAAGACAAAATGTAGGATGCTTAGGTTTACCATTTTAGATTATTATAAACGTAGTCATGTCCAATATATCAATTAAAATGACCTACAGGAAAATATCCTCAAAGAAAAATAGACTGAATATCTAGATTGCTTATTAATTTTATATATTCCCATTGTATTAATTCTCCTCTTTACCACGAAGGAAGGTTCTTTATCTGCACCTTGCCTTATGAAACTGTTGAGTTTCTCTAAAGATGTTTATCAAAAGAACTGTTATACATTAAATAGCTTAAGTGAACTACGGGAAGAATTATTTTTTAAGATTCACAAGATGAATCTTTCTGTAAATTTAAATGCCTTCCAATGTTTCCAATTCACAATTCAACCTTTCCCAAGTATTGGTTTTTCTAAAGGGATCATTATTTCTAAAAATATTTATTTGCATGATTAAAGGCTTAAACAGAAAGTTGGACTCTGTTCAACATTTTGTCACAAACATTTATTGGCCACCTCATTTTTCCTACGTAGAGCACACTGCATTTAGGAGGGGGGCATTGCGTTTTCATTAACCGCTGAAAGTAAAAGCTGCCCCATCTCCTAGCAGATGTGACCAGATCTAAGAAGAGTGCCTGACTTGAGAATATATCAAACATTAAAACATATTGAATGCTCTCCCAAAGTATTAATTTTATGCAGTTTTTTTTACAAAATTCTGTTTGGCTAGTTAGGGCAAAATGAATACTTCCAATTCAGTTTGATTTCTGCTACTTCAAAGTCCAATTTGCAACAAACCTGTTCTTTCCTAGTACTAGTACTTGCTAATGTAATTATTCTTTATTACTCTTTTTTATGTGTTGTGGGCATAGAGCCAGTTTTAAGTACTATGATATGAAAATAACATACATAATGGAACACATGCCCTCTATTATTAATAACATAAAAAGTGCTTCCTGGTTATGCATAAAATATGTGGTATGTTGATGGTTCACTATAATTTTTTAAGGTAACTCATTCATCTAATTGGACCAAATTATTTTTCAAGATGATCCATAGTAAATTCTTAAGAAAGTTCTTAATCTTTTAAAATGTATCCCCCAAATTAAAAATCGGGTAATGAAATGGTTTCTTACTGCCTGCTACACCATATTCAACATAAAAGATGACATGCTCTGGTCCCTCATATTCCCAACTGATATTGGCATAGGTCTCAGCAGCTGCAGCAGTAAGATTGCTGATCCTGGGATTTACTGCTTGAACTAAATATACAATAGAAAAATAAAACAGACAAACAATCACATTGCAGCACCATACACACAAATATAAAATAAGTTTAAATACTCTGAAATTGTGCAAAAAGAATAAGAATTTACTGTTAAAACTTAGGATTCACTCATGCTTCACTTTCATTACACAGAAAGATTTTTTGCCTCTTAATGACAGCATTAGAAGATAAATTAATAATCAGAAATAATGATGCATAATGTTAAAATTTATAAGTTCTATTATATGGGTTCTGAACAAAGTAAACTGTTGTCCATTAGATACAGTCCCGGGAAATGTCACTGTCTTCATTTACTAATGTGTGATGGAGAGGGGGATTGCTGAACAATCCCAGGGACAGAAGTCATCATAAAACCCAACACTATGTGGCTACTTTTCAATTCTAGGTGCCATCTCCATGCAGGTCTCTGAAAAATCTGTGTTGGTGTGACAGAGAATGCCCCTTTGAACAGTGGCTTTTGATCTGTTTTAAAAAGCAAACTTCTTTGAGTATCAAACTCTGGGGAACTCAGGGACCCTAGGTAAAGAACCCCTGCTTTAGAGAATGATGTTGGAAGGGAAGCTGCAAAAGGAATTGCCAGATATGTTCTATCAGAAGTTAAGAAAAAATAAATAAGTAAAAACTATTTAATGTAACATATCCCAGAGAGCAAGACAATCTTACCTGTTAACTGTTTGTTACAAAGCATTTTCTGAAAAATGATAGTGCAACCTAAATAGGTTCTTAAAAATCCAAATTATGGAGACCAGATGATGCTACATGCTTGCTACTGGGTAAAGACATCTAAAGTCATTAAAAAATGTTATTTGAATACCTAAGGCTAGCAATTCTGTCAGTCCTACCTCAATAGCTTAAACTAAAAATGAAATATTTACAGATGTGTTAACTTGGGTAGTTAAAAAATAAGATTAATTTATTATCCCACATAAAATTGACTAGGATAGTAAATCAGACAGCATCAATGGGTTTACAAAGACACTAAAATTTTATTCTAAGGTATGTTTATAAAATTTAGATGCTCAAGACCTTTGTTCAAATAAATGTAAAAAATTACATATCTTAGAATTGAGAAAAGAAAGATATTAAAGCAGTTAAATAATGCTCGTGACTTCTGAAATATAATTCAACAACACATGCAAATTTTGTATCTTTATGCTAAGCATGGGGAAACAGCAGAGGGCAAAACTGATTACTGAATTACGCAGAGTTCTTCTGTGGACCTAATTAATTTTAGTTTTCTGAAATTTTCTTCTTATAGGAAAAAATAATAGGAATATGATCAATCAGTGACACTGAATATGCATATGTGTGTAAAACATTGATGGCAATCATTATGGAAAAACATCAATTTTCTTAAAATATTCTGGAATACTGAAACTGAGGAATTTAATCTTGGAGTAATTATGGAAGATGTTCAAGGCAGAACTGTAATACTTCTAACACAGAGCATTTACTAACAGAAGAGCAAAATACTTCTAACAGAAGAGCATTTAGCTTCCTGTTATTTTTTACATTGGTTTCTATGGGTGCTCCCTTCTCAGAGTTTCTTCCCCAAACTGTTTTCATTATTATTTTGTTTCCAGTCTTATTGAAATGAAATCAGTATCTCTACAAGGTATCTACTCTCCTGTGTTCATTGCAGCATTATTCACAGTAGTCAAGATATGAAAACAACCTAAATATCCATTGACAGATGAATGGATAAAGAAATTACCATATATATACACAATGGGATATTATTCAGACTTTAAAGAGAAGGAAATCCTGCCATTTGCAACAACATGGATGAGCCCAGAGGATACTATGCTAAGTGAAATAATCTAGACACAGAAAGACAAATATTGCGTGATCTCACTTAAATGTGTGTGAAAAGAAAATAAATCTTTGGGCCCCCAAATCACTAAGCTAAAGGGAAAAGTCAAGCTTTTCCTGAGTACTGCTTAGGACAAACCTGCCTCCCATTCTTTTCAAAGTCATCCCTCCGCTCACCGAGATAAATGCATATCTGATTGCCTCCTTTGGAGAGGCCAATCAGAAACTCAGAAAGAAGGCAACTGTTTGTCTCTCACCTACCTGTGACCTGGAAACTCCCTGCTTCCAGTTGCTCCACCTTTCCAGACCACACCAATGTTCATCTTACATATGCTGATTGATGTCTCACATCTCCCTAACGTGTATGAAACCAAACTATGCTCTGGGCACCTTGGGCACATATCTTCTATGTGTCTAAAATGTCACGGGCTATGTCACGGGCACATGTCCTCAATCTTGGCAAAACAAACTTTCTAAATTAACTGAAATCTGTCTCACATTTTTGGGGTTCACTTGTGGAATCTAAAAAGTTATACTTAGAGAAACAGAGTGTAGAATAGTGGTTGCCAGGGGCTAGGGGTGGGGTGTGGGTTGGGGAAATGGGGAGATGTTGGTCAAAGGGTACAAACTTTCAGTTATAAGATGAACAAGTTCTAGAGATCTAATGTACAGCATCATATTATTAATTACAGTTAATAAGAAAGTATGATACACTGGAAATCTGCATTTAGCTTATTCTTAAGGGTACCCAGAAAAGATACCACAATTTCCTAAAGTTTGCTGTTTGGCCAATTTTATCATGGAGAATTTTAACTCTTCCTTCCTTTAATCCCCACTCATCCACTTTCTCACTCACAAAGTTCCTGTGTTGTACCCAGCCAGGGGAGCTCTAGTGTCCCCTTTTTCTGGGCTGCTTCTGGTGTGCCTCTCCCAACTGTAGGTCTTCCTCTGTAGATACCACTAGCATAGTTAACCTACATTTTAGCTGCCAAAACTACACCTCTAATCTAGCCACCTCTCTGTTTAAAACTCTGCCTATAGGTAAATACAAATTCCTTAGCAAGGCATTCATGGCTATTCAGAGCTGTTACCATCTGGCTCTATCCAGCAATCCAGTATCAACTCAGGGCCTTCTCCTTTCCACACACACTCTACATTTCAGCCTAAGTGGACTGCTTGGTATAACCCACACATCTGGTGTGCTTTCAAATCCCATGCCTTTGCTTATACCCCCTACCAAGACTTTACACACTACAACTCCCTAATTCATCTGCCCAAAACTAAACAAAACAAAAACTGGGCTTCAAGGCCCAGTTCAATATTATTTTCTTTGTGAAACTTTTTCTGATCCTACTTGGCAAAATAAACGGTTCATGCCTCTATGTTTAGATAATATTGTGCTCCAATTTCTAGTTTAGGACCTATTTATTACTCTTTCAATGTGTTGGTCTTACCTGCCAGATTTTAAGCATGTCAAGGGCAGGATTTGACCATAGTAGGCTGCAAGTTAGGTCAAGAATGTCTTTACACCCAGCTTCTTAAACAAAGGCGGGTCCATTTTATGTGCCAGAGAGACATTCACTGTTGAACTGACTGAATCCTCTATGCTTCGAGGTATATCTTGTTTTGTTTTCATTTAGGCCAAAAAAGGAATTTTAGTTTTTTATTTACTGGTTCTTTACTCTGGCAAAATAATATAGTAAGAGTCAGATCACAGAAGGGATTCACCACTAGCTGATCCTCAATGCTCTTCTCTGCTAATTCCTAACTGGTTGACCAGAGTAGGCTTCAAGTTAGCCCAAGAATGCAGATTTCTGCCTTGCCAGTTAGTTTCTCCCTGTTTCTGTATTCCAACTAGTCACCCTATAATAGTATTTTGATGTTTGGTCTCCAGAGTGCCAGACTAAATGCAATGCATAAGGCACTGCGGATCATCAACAATACCAACATAACTCAAATCTTTTTGGGTTTGCACATTTTTGGTTCATTTCTATACATGCCTTCACAGGACTACTTCCTAGAATTCCAGACCCTGAAATCATGTATTTATTTATTTATGAGATGGAGTCTTGTTCTGTCACCCGGGTTGGGGTGCAGTGGCATAATTTTAGCTTACTGTAGCCTCCACAACCCGGGTTCAAACAATTCTCCTGCCTCTGCCTCCCGAGTAGCTAGGACTACAGGTGTACACCACTATGCCCAGCTAATTTTGGTATTTTTAGTAGAGACAAGGTTTTGCTACATTGGCCAGGCTGGTCTTGAACTCCTAATCTCAAGTGATGTGCCTGCCTCAGCCTCCCAAAGTGCTGGGATTACAGGCATGAGCCACCACACTCATCCTCATTTAAAGACATAGAAATTAAACAAATATGCCAATCAACTATAATTCCTACACAAATATTGAGAGCTTTAACCCAACAAGGAAAAGTATAAAAATAAATGACTCAAAGATCTTGATTACTTAATTATAGTAAGGAGAATCCTAAGAAGAAGGGTCAGTATGGCATCAAATAGTTAATTGAATTATCCTGAGTTTTCCTTCAGGTTTATAATCATCTTGTAATTATACATTTAAAAACTTAGGTTTCATTAACATCTCTTAAAATCTGTAAGAAAATTTAAAAATTAAACTCAGATGCATTTCTTTTCCCCTCTTTGACCAGAAACAAATTAAAACCACTTTTCATGAAATTATAATTCATAATAAAATTATATTAGATGTTGATGCTTTTTTTTTGAGACAGAGTTTCCCTCTTGTCATCCAGGCTGGACTGCAATGGTGCGATCTTGGCTCACTGCAACCTCCGCCTCCCAAGTTCAAGTGATTCTCCTGCCTCAGCCTCCTGAGTAATTGGGATTATAGCTGCCCGCCACCATGCCCAGCTAATTATTGTACTTTTAGTAGAGACAGGGTTTCAGGATGTTGGCCAGGCTGGTCTTGAACTCCTGACTTCAGGTGATCTGCCTACCTCAGCCTCCCAAAGTGTTGGGATTATAGGCATGAGCCACCCACCATGCCTGGCCATGTTGATGCTTCTATAGCTAAGGATATCACGTTTTCTCTTTATTCATCTTATTTATTCCCTTTTCTCCTAATTTAAATAAAAATTTAAAAGATACATTTAAAAATTAAAATTTGGAAGGATCTTGGAGAACTTTAATTTTTCTCCTGTCACAGAGAAACTAAACTCCACATAGAGAAGGAAAATGGAGAATAGGATAGGATTCATTTTCAGACTGATAAAAAGAAATATTTTTAAGGAAGGAAAACCCAGGATCACAAATTATGCTTGAGTGGTTTAAAGTCTCACCATGGTAAAAATATCATCTTATGTAAGCCATACTTAACTACTGCTATACTATTTAAATAAACCATATTAAAATTAAGGTCAGATTTAGCTTTTTTCCTGCTTATTTAAACATTATTCCTTTTCTTATCTGAGATCTGTCAGATTTTAATACTGGAGGCTTAATGAACTTTCAGACACTGCATTTTTGCTTGTCTCTTTAATCATAAGTAACTCACAATTCAAATTAGTAACACAAAATGGTAAAACCAAAACTCTTTAAATAAGGATTTCCTTTAGTTTTAATTTATTAAAAACAGAGGGGTGATTTCTTTTTCAGTGGAGTAGATATCTACTTCTAACATGACAAGTTCTAACATGACAAGTCCATTGAAAATTCAGACTTGCTTCACAGACAATCCAACTGAGGCACAGTTTCTCTACTATCAACTCTAGGCATAGCCATAATGACATGTCCTCTGCATAGGAGAAATGCCAGGCTTTTAGTGAAATGGTCCAATTGAAGTTATAAAGCAGTATATTATTGTAAAACAACTAACAATTTAAATTAATATCTAATTATCACAGGAAGGAAGTATACAAATAAACAGCTTACATCTTTCTTTTTTCTTTCTTTCTTTCTTTTTGACAGGGTCTTGCTCTTTTACCCAGACTGCAAGACTGGAGTACAGTGGCAAGATCTCAGCTCAGTGCAACTTCCACCTACCTGGTTCAAGTGATTCTCCTGCCTCAGTCTCTCGAGTAGCTGGGATTACAGGCACGTGCTACCATGCCCAGCTAATTTTTTGTATGTTTAGTTGAGATAGAGTTTCACCATGTTGACCAGGCTGGTCTCGAACTCCTGACCTTTTGATCTGCCTGCCTCGGCCTCCCAAAGTACTTGGATTACAGGTGTTAGCCACTGTGCCTGGCCAGCTTACATCTTTCTATGATATTACAGAAATTTTGAATTTTTACTTCATCCTCTCAAGTCTAAAAACACAAATGTGACACTCTTAAGATTACTGAAAATGACCATAGTTCTTATTCAATAACTCCAAATCTATCTGATCAGTATTGTAATTTACCAAGACTCTGAATATAAGCAAATTTCTAAGCAAATAGAATAAATCTCTCAAGTCTAAGCTCGCAAGATCTGAATAATATAGGGCAAAGCACTTTTTTCTCTTGGTCTTCCTTTTCTTCATTCCTGTTTGTACTCATCTGATCTGTGAAAGCCCAGGAAAACCCCTGACGGTAGGCACACCATGTGAAAACAGTGCCCAGTGGCAGGTGCTCCACTGCTCTCTAAGAAGCTGACTGGTCAACCAGCAGCCAGGGGTCAAAGACTGGGGCATCTTTGGCATTGCCACAGATGGAAGACATATTGCAACTTATTCAAGCACCGTTCTCCCAACAAATCTTTTTGACCCAGAGAGCTGTCAGAAATAAAGGAGAACAAAAGTAATCCATTGTGGATTGTTGGTATTACTCAGGAGGAAGAGACTTAAGTAGCTGTGTGAAGACAGGATGGGACAACACATTTAAGAAGAGCACCTGGAAGACTCACTTGTAGGGAACCCTAAGCTTGGGGGGACTTAGTCCCAAACCAGTTGGAGGGCACTGTTACACTGCAATTCCAAATGGACGGTTCTGTGCGGTGGGAGCCGAGTGTACACTGTATCTACAAAGAGAGCAGCTAAATCGGAATAGAACAGGAAGCTTGGTTGATCTCATTTCTAACAGGCTGTTTTCATCACAGGGCTAATATTTCTGAACTCCTAATAATGTGGTATGGCCACATAGAGGATCTGTGACAAATCCACAGTTTGGTCCTGTCTGATCCAGCCAAAATCACAGTATTAAATGCTAAGATTAGGATTTGTACCAGGGATAAGTCTCAAGAAAAAATTTCAGGAGAATTCAGTATGTGGCTTTCTACTTATAAAGAAAGGACTAGAAATTAATTTTAAAGCCAAGATTGGATGAGATATTCTCTTCTTTTGGTGGATCAAAGCGTATTTTATTTTCTGTTTTACCCATGCTGCACTTCCCCATGTTTCACATTGCAAATTTCACACATGTATAAAGTCATGCAGATGAATTATTTTACCTTTGCCTGCACCTACATCAGGTGGAAGAATACCAGCTTTAATGAAGGGAAACAGAAATAGGACACTATATAGTTAGATGTAACACACCCATGAGCATGTATAGCGATATAAAAACACATATTAAAATGCTAAAGCATGCAAGAAGAATGAAATGTACCACACCAGGCACAGGGGACAAAGATATGTTGGTGTCCCCAAAGTGACTCAATATTCAAATTCACACATTACTTAAGGTGCATTATTCATACTTGTTTATTATGTAAGAAGGCTTGGGATATTTCAAACCAATTTTGGGATAGAAATGGTAAATTTCTCAGGCTATCAAAGATACTCAAATGAATAAACCTTAAGCAACTCTACAATTTAGAGACATGCAAAACCAGAAAATCTTTTACAATATTTTTGATAATTTTCATCAAATCTAAAGATTTCAGAATAACTTTCTAAAGTATGAAGTGTTAATTTCTTTTTCTAAATACTGTGATGGGTTATTTTGCTTTCTTTGTACATACCAAAATAGAAAATCTTTTGCTCAAACACAAAATAAATGCACTATTTAACTGTTCTCATTTCTTTGCTAGAAAACCTGAATCGATACGTGAACTAGAAAATTATTTCTAGTAAATCAGGACTAGAACTAGAGTTACATATATTTGTGTGTATACAGGTGTGTATGTCTGTGTATGCATATATGTGTGTATTATATGTATGTGTACATATGTATGTGCATGTATATATATGATATATAAAGTTGTTAATAGGAAACACATTGCCTTGAACTTCAAATTCAAGCATAGCAAATATTATGCTTATTCACACCCACCCTAAGATTTTAATATAAGTTTTAAAAAGTTTCAGAGTTGAAAAATATCAGTTAGTCCAATATGAGCTAAATAGCTAATCAGCTAATCAGAATGAGAAATTACAAATAAGTGTTTGTGTTAATTAGGTAAGATAGATACTCCATAGCAGGAAGGAAAAAGCATGAAATTAAAGCTTTTTATTTCATGATGCTGATAATTATATGGATTTTATACATACCCATCTTACCTTCATCCACAGTTGTTACTGCTTCCTCTGTAATCTGACTTCCTGATCCTGCTGATGTTTGTGCATAGAAATAAAACTTATATCGAGTGCTGAAATTTAAATTTTTTAAGGTCCACTGCGTCTTATTGGCAGGAATTTTCAAATCTACCAGAGGGCCTAATTCATGTGTGCTGTTAACTGTCAATAAGAAAACACAAACAAGTGTATTCTCCATTAATTGCTGTAGGAATACTATTATAAATAAATGCACCAACTAAAAATGTTAAACCTGGCGTTCATTGACTTTTATAATACTATTCACTCTTCGCCCAGCATAACTAAGTGATAACCTTTTAACAGTTTCTATACTATGTTATATTATATCATATCATCACATCATATCACAAGGGGGAATATGTTCTTTACTGGCTAATAAACTAGAAGAACTTTTTCCCCTGTATTCTCACAGGTAGAGTTGTATTGTTAAATAACCCCAAACATTTTTCTTCAGAGGCCTGTGCCAAAGAAACTATTTTCTATTTACAGAAAATGCATATCTAATTTAATGACAGCACTCACCTAAACCCCACCCCTAAAGGTCTGTATTATTCTACAGATCGGTTAATTTTTAATAACATACAAATCGTTTTTCTTTAAAAAGTAAGATCTGAAGTTCTTTTTGGAATAATGCTTGAAGGTACATGTATATATCCTACAGATATAAATAAAAACTAGCTTGTATTTTCTGATAACAGTTAAGTATTTTTAAAACTGTATTTCTTTTTATTGAGACAAGTTTCACTCGTGTTTCCCAGACTGGAGCACGATGGCGTGATCTCGGGTCACTGCAACCTCTGCCTCCAGGGTTCAAGCAATTCTCGTGCATCAGCCAACTGAGTAGCTGGGATTACAGGCACGTGCCACCACGCCCAGCTAATTTTGTATTTTGAGTAGAGATGGGGTTTCTCCATGTTGGTCAGGCTGATCTCAAACTCCTGACCTCAGGTGATCCACCCACCTTGGCCTCCCAAAGTTCTGGGATTACAGGCATGAGCCACCGTGCCTGGCCTAAAACTATATTTCTAACAAAAAGTTAAACACATGTTCTAATTCATAGGTGGAAGCTAGAAAGTTCATGTCACAGAAGTAAAAAGTAGAACAGAGGATCCCAGAGGCCGGGAAGGATGAGGGGAAGGCAAGATGGGGAGAGATCGGTTAAAGGATACAAAGTGATGGCTAGATATAAAGACTAAGTTCTAGTGTTCCGTACGCAGCCACGAGGAGGATATTAAGTGTTTCCAACACAAAGAAATGGTAAATATTTGAGATGATGAATATGCAAATTCCCCTGGTCCGATCACTGTATGTATCAAAACGTCACTATGTATCCCACGAAGAGGTACAATTATTTGTCAATTAAAATAACAAATAAAATGGAAAAAAACAGACACATTTTCTTTCTCCTCCTCCAAACAGCTTACTTGGCTGATACTTTAAGGTGTACTCTGTCAAAATGCCATTCGGGTGGCTCGGTGGATCCCATTCCAAAGTGAGAGAGTCCAGTGTCGGATTCACAATCTTCAAAGACGAGGGAGCACTGGGGACTTACAATGAGAACTTAGAGTCAACACAAAGGTTTCTGAATGTTTCAACATGTATTAAAATAATATGTCACCGTGCTCACACAGTTCAAAACTTTGGGTTTCAGTAACTCATTCCTGATTCAGCTGAAAATACGTGCATACAAACCTGTGACAGGTGCTCATTTAGTTATTCTCTTCCTCCTTCTCTCTTGTCATTTACATCTATATTCATTAAAAGCATCCTCTCAAAACACGCAATGACTTTGCCTTCAGATGGACTGAAACCTAATCTTTTAAAAGGAGGCAGTCCTTATTTGATACATGAATGGTGTCTAAATAGAAGCAAACTAGCTACCAAGAAAAACTATTCTAACCGGATCTGTGAGTGGAAGCAGCTGTGTTCTGGACCATTAAGGACTGTTTTCTCCAGCAAACCAGGTGTCTCCAAACAGTCACAATTCCCTGCCTGGTGGGCTTTGGGCCAGTGTGCCCAGGTGCAGAGACGTTCTTATCCTGAGAGCTGACAGCTGCCCCGGATCTGGTGGTGAATGGACAAAAGCCCAATCCTGGCTCACCCCTGGCTCTGGGGAAGGGCTGAGGGGTGTCAGGTTCTCTGTGGCAGAAGCTGGCAAATCACCAGAGAAAGGATCTCTGGTCATCTTTTATTCACTTCCTCATGAGGGTGATGGCTAGGGCAGCTCTCTTTCACAATGGTTACCTCCCCTACCACTGTCCCTGGAAACTAAGTAATGGGACACTCTCCCTGCTGTCACTCTAGCCAAAACCCAGAGAGTCAACCTGTACTCTCCCATCTGCATCATTTCCAACATCTCCTCAGACACTAAATCCTGTCCACTCCACTCCCTTCCTTAAACAATGTCCATGTGTTCTTCTCCCCATCTTTGCCACCTCCCTGCTTTAGCCCCTCAGATGTCTTTGTCTGACCTAAAACCACGCCTGGCACATCATTCCAGGCTTCCAAGCTTCCCCAACCCAGTAAGTCACAGACCCTTTTGAGAATCTGATGATAGCCATAAGCACTCTCTGAAAAACATACACATATCTTGCATACAATTTTAGGAGTTTCATGGAGCTCGTTGAGCCCATTCATTGACTCCCTAAGGGGCTACAGTCCCCAGGTTAACAGCCTGTGGCCTGCAGGTTGGTCAACGGAACCCAAAATCATCCATGACATGAGCCTTCCCTAGCTGACCTTCATCCCTTTTCTCACCAGTTCTGGCCACACAACTTTTCTGAAGGAGCCAGGCTATTTCCTACGTCTGTGTCTTCAGACATACTTCTTCCTCTCTTCTTTATTCTTCAACCATCTGATCATCTCCTCTATGACACTTTTCCCTGAACCATCTAAAGTACCAGTGTGAGGCCTTGCTTGTGACAGCCTCGAGTAGGAAGAGCCTTGACTCTAAGGGACAGTGAGACTGAGGACAAAAACTTACAATGGGACGGGAGCTGGGACACAGGGTGATTCTCAGATTCGCAGCTGCCCACATCATGAATCTTTCAACCAGGAGCCAGGGTGGGGTGCATCTTCTGTGACCTTCTTCTATCAGAGCTAAGCAATCTACAGAAGCTATCTAGCCATTGTCACAGCAGCATCGTTGCAAAATTTAAAATAGGTAAAGCCCATTTTAGTGCCTTTTCAAATCCTCATCATTTTTACTACCTGGCCCCCTCTCTCCCTCACCCACAAGGCTCCCTCATCCCTGTGTCCAAACTCCTTCTCCCCCAACTCCAGGATTAATATAGATGTGATCCTCCCTCATTCCCTCCTTTGCAATTGCCCATATCTGCAACGACTTTTCCCTCCTCTTCCCAATCCACTTGGTCAACACCTGCAACCTTCTAACTCGGTTTCACTTTCTAATAAATTATAAAAGTGCCCTAAGAAAGAAGCTGTAGAAGTAAACTATAACTTATAGAAACAGTTTCCTTCCAAGGTGTTTTTGTTAGGTTATCTAATTTGGTTCTCATGCTTTTCAGATGAGGCTCCTGACAGAGAAGTTAAAGAACCTCTTTCAGGTCAGAAAGTTAATGATTCAAATAAATGTCAGAGTAGCAAGGTTTCGGACAGTGTGTGTGGAGAAAAATTTTAAGTCAAGGGAGAGGGCGTTTCAGAGCAGCACTTTGGGTTCCGAAGCCTTCTACGTACACTTAGGCCACATATGATCTGACATTCTGGCAGCTTTGTGTGTGCTGTACTCATCGATGGAAATTTCAATCACATTTGCCTTCCAGAATGTATTTTGATCAGTAGCCCTTCTCTCAGGCCAAACCTCTCAGGTCATGCCATATGTTCCTGGGATCTTAGGGATGCATCCGTTCCATACCTCCTTCTGGAGTATTAAAGACTCTGTCAGGGCTGGCTGGGCCCTCCCCCTTCCCATTGACCACTCGGACGTTCAGTGTGTAGTGGCTAAAGGGCTCCAGCCCCGGCAACATGCCATGCGTCTTGCTGCCTTGGAAGGTGAGGATCTTTTTCTCAATGTGACGTCTGTTTCTTTTAGGTGAATTCTGTGTCTTCCAGTAGTAAATCTGAAACAGCAAGAATGAAAGTCAGGAAGGCACAAAGGAGCAAACAATATTCCTTATGCCCACCAAATTGAAATTGTTGTTTCTCCAGAAAATTCCCTTGGTACATTTTAGAAGAAAATTACTAGCAAAACTGATGGATATTGATTCTGAGGCAAGAGATAGAAGCCCATAGATGATGCGGGAAATCAAATTACAGCCACATGACAAAGCTGGGCTACGCTATTTTGTCATAGGAGTCTAAGCAAAATGGAACAGCATGAGACCCATATGGTTTTCTCTAGAACATGAGGCAAATGGAGGACAAGAGGATTTAAGTCTTTTACTTGTATAAAATATTCTAAAAATAAAAATCACTGCCCAATGTTTACATACTTTTCCAGAATTAATACACGTTCATGTACAATCTATCATTTAGTTTAATCCTAAACCCTACAGTGGGGCTTTTATTAGTTACTCATACGGTGCAGATGAGCGTGTGGCTATTAAATGACTTTCACAGCCACAGTGATATCAAAAGCTACAGGGGATCCTCCACTGAAAGTCTAGAATTTTTCTGCTAAATCAAACTAGTTTAAAATACTTTTTTTTTTTTTTTTTGGTATTCAATTGCAGGCACAGGTTTTGAAGAGATGGATAAAAAAGTGTTGATTAATTTTGGTCACAAATCCATAATTGTTTATTAACTCCTCTTAAATTCTTAGGAATTTAAAGGCATTTTCAAGAGAAGTCAACATTTATATGAAATCTGGCAATACTAGGGGAGTAAAAAAAAATGTTGAATGTGATGTAGTACAAAAAGTGACCTCTAGGGGTCAGGCTTAACAAATCAAAGTAATGACTGTATGCTTGGCTGCCTATCAGCTAAGAATCTCTATGAATCAGTGCTTCTCAAGAACAAAGATAATGGATATTTATAAGGATGACCTCGATGAGAACATATGGTCTTAAAGTATATTCTGAATTATTTTTTAAATGCCTACATTATTATCAGGATAATTTTGTATGTTTAACCCATGTGGTCCATATTGCTTTAAAGCTAGCTACGGTTCGTAATAGTCTAGGTCTTTAAAAAATTAGTTCCCCCATTTTGTATACATACTTACTTGGCAGAATGTTAGATCATCAGTGGGAAAAATAGAGAAAACTTTTTTTTTTTTCTTATTTTGGATTCAGTGAGATTTCAAGCCAACTCTGGCCATGGCCCTGCCTGAGGCAGTAAGCCAAATGAACTCTCCAGTCCCCAAGTTCATAAAGCAATGAACCAATTACATCCTTCCTCATGTGGTGTGCGTGACATGTGGCATTCACTGCTCCTCTTACTAAAGAAAGCCATGAAAGGTCCCCCTCCACTTGCCCGATAGCCTTGTAGGTGTCCTCGGATGCTTTTCAGAGGTACTGGGTCCCAGTGCACTTCGGCTAAGGTGCTGTTCACCACATTCACCCGCACATTCCCGGGAGCCACCATTGGGACTAGGAGAAGGACAGGGAAGTGGTAGAAGTATCAATGTTATTTTGAATTTCATCCATAAATATCACTATCTCCAACAATTTTGGATTAAAGCATATTCCAGTCCTATTCCATGGATTATTAAGGCTTGAATACAGATTTTGGGGTAAATGACTTTGTGAGAGAGTTTTTTTTTTTTTTTTTTTTTTTTTTTTTTAAAGATGGGGTTTTGCTGTGTTGCCCAGGCTAGACTTAAATTCCTTGGCTCAAAGGATCCTCCTACCTCAGCGTCCTGAGTGGGAAAACAAGATTTTTAAAAAAGTACAATTAACCCTTGAACAACACGGGTTTGAACTGCATGGGTCCACTTACATGTGGATTTTTTTCCCCCACAAATACAGTCAGCCCTCCACATCTGCGGGTTCTGCATCTACAGCCAAAGAAGATGGAAAACATGGTATTCCTAGGTGCAAACCCCACGGATATGGAGGGCTGACTTTTCATATAGGCGGGTTCCATAGGGCCATCTGTGGGATTTGAGTATTTGCAGATTTGGGTATCCAAGGTGGGGTGTTCTGGAACCAATCCCCTGTGGATACCAAGGGACAACTATACTGTAATCACCGTGAACGTTGTGAACGTTTCTTTCTTACACAGCAGGCTGTTTAAACTCACGAGAAGTCAGGCAGACTAATCGCGACCTCCCTGCCTTGCAAACTGAGCACCTCTGGAAATGGTGTTGGCTTGCACCTTGGTTAAGTCTGTTTTGCTGGGAAAAGTAGAAATGAAACGGCATCACTTACGGTCTTCTCCAGAATGTCCCATAACTACGGCTGGCTCGGGGGCAAACCCCACGTCATTCAGGGCCTGAACTTTGATCAGGTATGGAACAAAGGTTGGCGTGCCTGAGACAATATATTTGGACACGTTTGCCACAACCACAGACGTCCATTCATCATCACCATCTTTCTGGCGCCAGCTAACTTTGTACTGAAGGCCTGGCCCATTAGATTCAAAACCATTCAAGGGCTGCAAGAAAAGCCAAATGACCAGAGCTTAGAACACAGATCGACTGCACAGTCTTTTACAGGAACAGCAAATTCAATTCCCGGATCTAAGTGATCACTGAAATACTAAAACAAGCTATTAACCATTTTCTTCAGGGACCTTTTATCAATTGCGCATTTACAATGAGATTCAAAGCTTGTTTGGGATCAGCATTTCAAAGGTTGTAGATTACTATCTTGAAGCAATAAATACCACATAAGCCTTTCAAATTCTGGCTCTAGTCCAGGGTAGGTGATTCTTATGGCATTTCAGTCACATGGAATCCTTTATATATTCCTGTTTGTGCAACAGTACATCATTGTCCATTTTACTTTCAGATGGAAACCTATGGACTGTTTTCCTCTTTATTAAAAAAAAAAAGGCTACCCTGCCATTCTGTTGTTCCTGCATGTTTGTATGAATATAAGTATGTACATATATGTATACATGTAAGTATGCATGTATGGATCCATCTAAAATAGGTTTTGAATTATGAGTAAATATATGCTAATTTTCCAAATTACAAAACACACATAAGGTTCCTCACTAAAGAAGTTGACTGCTGGGAATAGCTTGGTGATTGTCTTTCAGTGGTTCTTTTTTTTTGAGACTGGGTCTGGCTCTGTCATGCAGGCTAAAGTGCAGTGGCACAATCTCAGCTCACTGCAATCTCCAGCTCCCGGGTTCAAGCTATTCTCCTGCCTCAGCCTCCCGAGTAGCTGGGATTACAGGGGCGTGCCACTACGCCTGGCTAATTTTCTTATTTTTAGTAGAGACAGGGTTTTATCATGTTGGTCAGGCTGGTTCTGAACTCCTGACCTCGTGATCCGCCTACCTCGGCCTCCCAAAGTGCTGGGATTATAGATGTGAGCCACCACATCTGGCTGCAGGTGGTTCTTTAAGATAATAGCTAGCATTTTTTTGAGCGCAAGTATATGCTAGGCACTATTCTAGGTGCTTTATATATATTAGCCCCTTTAATAGTATGAAATCGGTTCAATTACCATTTCCATCATACAGATGCCTGACAGAGATGTTAAACAACAGGCCTGAGGTCACAGAGTTAGTGGCAGAGCTAGGATTTACACCCTATCATTCTGGCTCCAGAGCTCAAGCTTTTAACAACTACACAATACTACCTCTTTACACACACACACACACACACACACACACACACACACACACACACACATACATATACTTTTCCCCCGGAAATGGGTGAAATGGGATTTTAATGTAGACATTATTTTCAAACAACTTTTTTTCACTCTAAAAAATAGCGAATAAATTTAAAGGCATCATAGCTCACCTTCCAAGTAATCACCAAATTATCAGGCTCTGATCCCAGTCCTTCCACAGCCGTGGGGTTTTTATCTGGTTCTAGAAGTTAAGCAGCCATATATGCTTAAGCTTTGGTCTTTTGCAAACAGTGGAAAACTTTTTTATTTCATTTTATACCCCAGAAGTCCAGCTTTCCTGCTTTACCTGAGGCCTTCGTCATATACTGCTCAGATGCCTCACTGGGCAAGCTCTTCCCAATGCTGTTCATGGCTGTCACACGGAAGGAGTAGTTCACATAAGGAGACAGCTTCAGCTGGGCTGTGGTCTGTGTTCCAGAAACTTCGGTTTGGTGGTGCCACAGCCCTGGCTCGTGCATCGCATCTTCATATTCGATGATGAATTCTGGCCATGACATATACACACCAAACCCAAGAAAGTGAATTCAGTTACCCCAGGGGTAGAGGCTAGTGATAACTAGGGCGCGACAAATTCAACTTACGGGAACAGCAAATTCAATTCCTAGACCTACAGAAAGAATACTAAAGCACAAGCTATTAACCATTTTCCATTAACCATTAGCCAGGCATAGTGGTGAGCACCTGTAGTCCCAGCTACTCAGGAGGCTGAGGCAAGAGAATTCCTCGAACCCAGAAGGCGGAGGCTGCAGTGAGCAGAGATTGTACCACTGCACTCCAGCCTGGGCAACAGAGTGAAGACTCCATCTCAAAAAAAGAACCACCTAGAAGATATGCACCAAGCTATTCCCAGCGGTTAACTTCTTTAGTGGGGAAAGCATATCTGTGTTTTCTGGATTTGGAAAATTAACATACATTTATTCATAATTCAAAACCTATTTTAGATAGCTCCAACATGAGCAACCAAACATGAATTATCTTACTTTCAAGAAAAATGCCATTAAAATGGTTTGATTTCAGAGTGCTATCATTATCCTCAACACTTAAGCATGCATGGTGACACTTTAGTGGGAAATGGCATCTCACCATATTTAATTTAATTTTTCCTATTATGAAAAAAATTTGACCATCTTTTCATATAGTTAAACTTTTTAGGGATATATAGATTAATTCTAAACAGTTTTAGATTTTACCTAATCTGGCATTCTTTCTCCAGCATGCTGAGTTTAGCAACTTAAAACTGTTGAGAATTAATCCATATATCCCTAAAAGTTTAAATATATGGAAAGATAATCACATTTTTTTCATAATAGGAGAAATTAAATATGAGATGCCATTTTCCAGTCAACATATTGGCAATATCAAATGTCTAGCACACTTTGTTGACTATGACACAAAGAAGCAATCACTCTGACTTTGTAGGAAGGGTGTAACTTGGAACAACTTCTGTATAAGACAATTTAGAAAATCTGTCAATATTTAAGGCACATACTGTTTGAGAAATTTTACTTCTAGCAATTTATTTTGAATAAATGTGCTCACGCAAACGGCACAAACACATGTGAGAAAGAATCTACACTGCAGTATTATTTGCAATTGAAATGCAAACAACCTAAACATCCATCAATAGGACACTGACTAAACAAATTACACTATGTCCACACAATGGAATACTCTGCAGCTGTTAAAAATGACTGTTGGCCAGGTGCAGGGCTCACACCTGTAATCTCAGGACTTTGGGAGACCCAGGTGGGTGGAGTTCAGGAGTCTGAGACCAGGCTGGGCAACCTAGTAATATCCCTTCTCTTCAAAAAATTAGCTGGGTGTGGTAGTGTGCACCTATAGTCCCAGGTATCAGGGAGGCTGAGGAGGGAGGATCACCTGAGGCCAGGAAGTTGAGGCTGCAGTGAACCATGATCAAGCCACTGCACTCCAGTCTGGGCAACAGGGTGAGACCCTGTCTCAAAAAAGAGAAAAAAAATGAATAGGGCTGTTCCGTATGTGCTGAAATGAAAGATTTCTAAAATGTATTGTTGAGTGAAACTAAGCAGGATATAGAATTATGTGTGCTGTGTACTATGCTTGTGTAAATGTAAAAAAAAAATTACATAACAAACAGACAAATTCACTTGCATGTACATGCATTACCTCTCAGAGAATATACACTAATTCTGGTGTGGCCAGAAGACCTGGGAGTCAGGAATGGGAGGAAGACATACTTTTCAGTGCACACCCTCGGCATCTACTAAAATTCTGTGGTCTGTACACATTTTACCCTTGTAAAATAATAGGTATTTGGATATTCATTGATTGCCTACTATGTGCCAGGAGCCATGAATGAAATACAAACACAAAGATAAACTAAAAATATTGTGTGTGTTGCAGTGGGAACTGAAAATATTATATGTGTTGCGGTAGTTCAAAACTAAGTCCTTGGGGTTCCCCTTTCAATCCACATTCATCTTCGGGTGATCTCCAGTCCTATAAATGGATAACTTTCACATTTATATCTGTAGTCCGGACTTCTTCCCTGAACTGCAGACTCAGAACGTCCAACTGTCTGCTCAACAATTCCACTTGGTTGTCCATGACAGCATCTCAGACTGGATAGGACCAAAACTAATCCCAATCTTCCTCTCCAGTTGACAGTGACAACCCAGATCAAAACCTGGAATCCCTGTTTCCCCACATCTTCCACACTCTCGGTAGTACAATGGCCTGTGTACCATTAAAACATATCCCGAATCTGTCCATTTCTCAGCCTATTCCAGGCCACCCTCCTCTCTTAGGAGAATGATTACATAACTTCCTCACTCAGTAGTTCCCAGACTTTTTTGGTTCACAATGTACTTAATGTCTATAATTTATTTTTCATGGCTCCCTTAGGCCAAAAGAGTGACCTAATGTTTGCATGTATTAAGTAGCTAGGTTCATACAACTTGATATGTTGTATGTTATACCTTAAATAAATTTAAACAATTTAAATTTCAAACAATTTTAAACCTGTTTATATCTTAACAGTTTAAAGCTTCTCTTCTACAACTTCTCAAACCTTGTAAACAGATTGGACACCACCTTCCACATCTCCTGCTCCCCAGTGATTTCCATGTGGCACTTGCTTGTTGTCACAGCAAATGCTTTGCAGAGCTATAACATTATCACAAAATGACAAGAGATATATAATTGAACTTGTCATCTGCCCCAAGCTAATTTCATATGATGTCTGACAAATATCACTGTTTTTTTAACATCAAAATTTAAAGGTAAAGCTTTAAAATTATCCCAAGGGAGGCACCCTGTGAATTCACTGAGGTACCACTGGGCATTTCAGTGCACTGTCTGGGAACCATGGTCTTTCCTAGTCTCTTTGCTTCTCTTCCTGTTCTTCTATAGACTATTTTTAATAGACAAGCCAGAGTTATTCATTCACCCCTCCTCTGTTAAAACTCTTCAAGGGCTTCCCCATCCTCACAGTGACCCCCAGGCCCTTGCACAATTCCCACCCCAGACACCCACCGCGTAACTCTTCACCTCTTTGACTTTCTGTCCTCCTTCACTTTCCCTTGTTCATTTCACTGCAGCCTCACTGGCCTCCTCGCAGACATGCCCCTGTCTTAGGGCCTTTGCTCTTTTCCTTTGCTCTTGCTGGAAAGTTCTTCCCCTAGACAACTGCATAGTATGCTCACTGACCTCCCTCCCCTGTCTTGATTGACATATTCAAATGTTCTTTTCTTAGTGTGTCCTTTCCCATTCACACTATTCACAATTATACCCCTAGCTCCCCATCTCTTTCTGCTGATTTGTTTTTTTTTGCATGTCCTAAACACATATACACATACAACCATATGTATTAATAGACATATATAAGTTTGAGTCCTCTAGGAGACAAAGACTAAGACAGAATTAGAAATGGAGAGGTCTACTTGGGAAAATGCCCATGGAAGAAAAAAGGGAAAGGAAGTAGGGAAGCCTGAAGGGGGAAGTTCCTTCAGACCACAATGCTGGTCTGACATGTGTAACAGAAAGAGGAGGAGGGAAAGAGGAGTAAGTAGGAAAAGCCTCAGACTGCAGTACAGTATAGCTCTGGGATAGACAGCCAGGTCAACCAGGAGGCCAGAGTACAGTCTGCCCATGAGAAGAGTTTTGCATTAGGCATGTGTGACCTCTGAGACTGTACCGAGCAACTAGAGCACCCCAAGGAGTGTGGCCTCACGTGAACCCTGCAGTGGAGCCTTACAGAAGGAGAAGCAGATGGAGGCTGTCGGTTAACACACTTTACAGCAGGTTCTCTCTTGAAGGTAGATCTGAGTCTTCTGTGTGTGTGTGTGTGTGTGTGTGTGTGTGTGTGTGTGTGTATATGTTTACATGCAGATATAATGACATTATACTTAATAATGTATTATTAATTTTATCTTATGTTTGGCCTCATCTAAAATATAAGCTCCATAACGACAGAGATTTTTGACTATTTTGTTTTAGAACAATGTCTGGCACATAGTAGGCACTCAAAAATATCTGTTGAATGAATGAGTAAATGAATGAAAGAGTAGAAGTGCCTCAAAATCTAATGGTATTATTTTAATATAGGGAAAAAGAGTCTCCAAGCCATCTAACCAGCTAACTCTGGCTAATGCACCCAGTGAGCTAGAAGACTGGGCCTGGATGACTGTGTGTTCTGATCAAGGACAATGAAAACTCAGTAGAGAAAAAAGCACCATTAAACAACACAAGACAGAGGGAAGGATTTGGTTAAATTTTAGTGGAAATATTCTGCTTTACCAGGAAGTGCAATAAATCAACACACCTATGATTTCAGAATCATCTAGGTCATCATCAGAAAGGAATTCAGTCTTCCTGTAGTATATGCTTGAAGGTAATCATGTATTTCAGGCATGTGACCTGATTGTGTCTGCCTCTTAAGTATCTCTGGCTTTACATTTAAACATCTAAGCTTACCTATAGTCTAATTTTATTACGCTCTTCTAGGATCCTTATGACACTATCTTTCATTATCTTATTCCCTAGGCCCTAGGCTTATGTCACCAAGGTGAAATGCTCACATTGTTGAATGGGCAACTTTGTAGCAGGGACTAATGGAAAGAAAGAGACCTAGGTTGGAAGTTAAGGTAGAACCTATTATCTCCACCCAGTTCTGCTACCAACCATGGGTTGAAAAGTTACTTTACTCAACAAGCCTCAATTTCCTGATATGAAGACAGGGCCATTCAGCACTCACTCCTCCTAACTTTTTCCTAACCCCTAAGACATGGGCAAAATAAACGACTAACTTAAGGTGCACCTTCCTACTGTGGTAGGTATTTAAAGTGATTTTGATTGATATTAAACAAAAATAACAATGTATTTGGTTAATCAACATCTTCAGCAATTAAGTGGTGTTCTATTCTAGAAGGTGTAACCAGGAATAACTTCAGCTCTGAAGAGAGGCAGGACATAAATAAATATTTTTGTTCTATCAGTAATGAGGCAGAGAATCCCAGTAAATACCTTTGTGAGGAAATTCAGTTGACTGTTACAAAGTGCTTCAAACATGGCCATTTAGTTGATCGGTAATAGAGCAAATAATACCACATACTTGTAATAGGGCTATTGTTGTCATCGCCTGGGGTCCATGACAGCTGAACACTTTTGTCAAGTTGATCTGTCAGTTCTAAGTCAAAGGGAGGATTTGGAACATCTGTAGACCAAACATACACACATCATGGTCACCCATCCATCTTTAAGAGGTTCTCCTTTACTCATGATACTATTCACAGAAGGGACATCTTAAGACACATAACAGTTGATAGTCAATGAGCATGCGACTGAAAGGAAATGCAAACAGCTGAGGTTGCTGGGAACACACGAGCACACCCACGATAGCCCATCCATGAGTTCTGCTCACTTGTTTATCAAAGGAAACGAAAACATTTGTAACGAAATCCAGTGAAGCAGACACATGTGGTTCATCAGCACTCTCAGTGTGTCTTCTCATAAACATGAATGGGCACAAACATGAAAAATAATAAGCTTAGTTTCTAATACATGGGAAACAGACAATAGCCACTGCTGAAAAACAAATATAGGCAAATAAAAGGTACTGTTTAAAGAAAATTCAAATGTTCTTTCTGAAACATGCTGAATAACAGATTTGGGGGCTCTGAAAAAATATTTATATTTGCGAAAGAATTCTGAAATAGATGCTATGGGGGTAGCCCTCAGCATGCATAAGTGTGTTTACTCCCAGAGGACAAGAGTGTAGAGACAGACACATGTTGGGACAAAAGAGTCCTGGAAGTATGTCTGCCTCTTCTAATAGTGTCGTTCCCCCCACACCTTTGACTTTGCTCTTAGGAGTAACTCTGGCACTCAGGGGACTGGAGACCATATAAATATATGCGTCTTTTTTCTTATCAGTGATAAAGCAGTAAAAGTCTACAAAGCACGGATTTTATATTGGATAACTAAATACAATTTTACTGTGCAAAATCAGCTGAGATTATGTCAAAAAATTGGTTTTGGTACTGATGTGCTGAATAAAGATGAAGCTTCTCTAAATAAAAAGATTTCTGGAAATGATTTCTGACTTATTTTCCAGATGCTAAAAAGCCACATGAATGTGCCACTCCTTCTGGTCTTTCTTAAGTGATTTGTCTTTTGTCAACACATGGTGAGTCAGTTTTCTCTGATATAAAAGCTAAATGTTGTTCTAAATATCCATTTTTCTCCTATATACATTTCTTGAAAATGGAATCCCAAAACAAGATTTATTTTTCCAATACAATTTTTAACAAATTGAGGTGAAAACCTGATTTGTAGAATGATATTAGAAATAGCCTTTTCATTCTGTAAAATGTGGATGATGGCTTTTAAAAAAAGCACTATGCTACTTGACAAGGAAATTGCATCAAAGAAGGACTTTCATCAAACAAAGTGATTTTATGATAGCACGTGAACTATTTGAAACAACTGGCCATGAACTTGGTGAAAAATCTAGGGTTATGATGAAGAAATGATTCATTGTCAGTAAATGGGTGACATCACATAACAACTGACAGAGCCCCTTTTCTTAAGAGACAAAATTATGTGACATAGGAAAGAAAGTTATCAATATTTTCTGCAGATGTGGAATTGTTTGACAGAAAACAGAGAAAGAAGACTCATATTAGTTTACCGTAAACGGGAACTGGAGTTGGAGTAGGAGCTAGAAAGGACATTAATATAAAGGATTTTAATCAAAATTAGTGATGGAAAGATACAAGATAGCACAAGATGACAAAGACTGTACATTATTCAAGATTATAAAACTAAGCCCTCTGCTTAGCTGTGAGACACAGCATTGTTATACATGCAGTAGCAATTGAGGGGAAAAAACTTCAATTTTAGATACAAGTAGATTATTTCTCTTAATCTTATTACAAAAATGTTACTAATATGCAGATCTACCATTTCACCCAGTGTGCTACGTAGTATATTTATACTTATATTATTGCCTTCAAGGCATCTTTCAAAGAAGAAAAACATGGGTATGAACTCACCCATGCATATTAACAAGCAAACATTTGATATTTACGATTTTTATCTTATTTTTCCTTTTCAACCAAATGCAGTGAAGCCAGTTGTGCTATTTTTGTTTTCTTTCTTACCAACAACGCTAAGCACAGCGCTGGCGGAGACGCTGTCCAGAGTGGTGTTGGCCACACACGTGTAGGTCCCACTGTCATCGTCACTGACATCAGCTACCACCAGATGATCCTTGTCAACAGTGAACCTGTGGACAGAATGCATTCAGAGCAGCAAAAATGGACATTCGGCCACACCCTATAATTGCTTCACTGGCAGGAAAGAAACTGTACATTTCATAAAAGAGAAAGATTGGTATAAATTTTCAAAAATTAGAGCAAAACACTTAACACTTTAAGAATGATTAAAGTTGGAAAGCAGTGAGAATTAACTAGAATCTTGGGTTAGAAGGGATTAAGTCCTCTGGTATAGCATTTTTCAACCAGCCCTCCAGAGCACAGGTCCCAAACCCTGGGCCACAGACTGGTACTGTCCTGTTAGGAACTGGGCTGCAGAGGGGACCGCTGCTCTAGAGGGTATGGTAGGTGTTTTCCTTAAGTCCCCAGGGGAATGGGCGAGTGAAGCTGAGCTCTGCCTCCTGTCACAAAAGCAGCAGCACTGGATTCTCACAGGAAGGTGAATCCTATTGTGAACTGTGCAGGTGAGGATTGAGATTGTACACTCCTTATGATCACCTAATACCTGAAGATCTGTCACTGTATATATTACATGTAATAATATACGCATGTATATACATATTACAATGTAACAATAATAGATAAGTATACAATAAGTGTGATGCACTTGAATCATTCTGAAACCACTGTACCCCCACCCTGTCTGTGGAAAAATTGTCTTCCATGAAACTAGTCCCTGGTACCAAAAAGGCTGGGGACTGCTGCTCTAGAGAGAGTGGTAGAAACTTCCTTAAGTTCCCAGGGGAATGAAGTAAAGGCTAGTTCCAGCATTATCCTTACTAAAGGGCCTTACTAAGGCTTTTGCTACCACAAAACACTGGAAAACTACTCCTTCAGTTCAATTTTTATCAAAGTATATATTTTAAATACTTTATTATTTACTGCAGAAATTTCATGTCATTTTCTTACATGTATAAACTCTTATAGGAGAAATTAAATGCAAAGAATAATAATTTGTTTTATCACTAGAAACAGGAAGATTTAGATGAACAATCTCTACTAAGAGTTTTCCAGAGGTTACTTGTGAGCATGAAAAATTACTCAGTAGATCACAAAATTAATGTATAGAGGATTCATTTATTATTTTAATGAAGCTGCATAAATCATTAACTGTCTTCGCAGTTAATTTCCAAGTAAAAGTTTCAGCCAACTTAACCTGATGGTCATTTCTTTATGTTTCTTTTTCATCCTTTTTTTTTTTTCTTTTTTTTTAAAGACAGAGTTTCACTCTGTCACCCAGGCTAGAGTGCAGTGGTGCAGTCACAGCTCACTGCAATCTCAGCCTTCCGGGCTCAGGTAATTCTCCCACCTCAGCCTCCCAGGTAGCTGGGACCACAGGTATGAGACCACCACACCTGGTTATCCTTTTCATCTTTATCAACTCAACAAATAAAATTGACTAGTTCAAGCATAAAACTAGATGGAGACTCTAGGCACATAAAAGAGAAGGCCATAGAATTATTCTGGGGCCATTAACAAGCAATAAGAAAAGCTTTAGGCACCACAACTTTAGGGCAGCTGCAGGTGAACCACAGAAATGATTTCGACCAGAATACAGCATTCCTTCTAATAGACAGTGAGACCTACAGCCACTTTGCTAAAATTTACACATTCCAGTCTGTACTGCTACATCAAATCGAGGGTCTCATCTGGAAAATCCCATGACCTTTATTTAATTCTTAACTAAATCTGCAGCATGCTTGGGCTCTTTAAAGCTTTACCTGTTTTTGTTTTTCCTTCCCCTTCCACTGGCTTTAGGTAAAATCAAAAGAAAAACTCCTTATCCAAATAAAAACGAGTGTCTTTTAAAATACTGACAAGGATTTGAGCAGTCTTTGGTGATTAAAGAGGTCATATTTCTGCTTATTTGTAGAATGGTAATGAAAACATCTGTTGAGATTTTGCTGTTCGAGGTATAAAACAATGGATGTTGTCCAAGGCCTGAGGGTTTTTTCCCATCCCGAATTACACAAGAGACTAGCATGCAAAGATAGACAAACATTCTTGGGGTCCTATTTCAATCACCTGGCACCTTCTTTGGTACGTATATTTTACAGTAGGAAGAAAAATGCGTTTCTCTCTGTTTTGGAGACAGCAGACTTCAGAAACTGAAAACATCACCGTAACTGACTACATAACAGACCTTTAGTTCAAGAATAGCTTAAAGAAAGAATGAAGAGAAAGTAAAGAAATCGTCTTCAAATACCTTTCATCATTGGGCAGTTCCTCATTGTCCTTCAGCCACAGGACAGTGAGGACTAAGGTGTGATCATGTTTCACTTTGCATTCAAATGACACCATGCCCCCTCTTTGTACAACTGCATATTCGGGCTGTTTAATGATCCATGTAGGATCTGAAATGTAAAGTTATTGTTATCCATTTGGCAAAGCTGGAAAATCTGTCCAAAGTCATTTAAAACTTAAAAAAACATATTACCTCTGCCTTACCTTTGATTTCTAAGTGGACGTCATTCTTTGCCATCCCTAATTTATTCCTTGCAACACACGTATAAGTTCCCGTGCTGTCCTTTTGGGCCACAGGAATTTCCAAAGTTCCATTTTCATGTAAAACATAAATATCTTCATGAAGAGCACTTCCTTTAGCTCCTTTAAACCTTTCATTAAATAAATTATCAGGATGAGAATAAAAACACATCATATTTTGAAGTCAGACATAAAATATCATGTTCAAGGTCAACACAACCATGATGTATGTTAAAGCTGCAAGTCTATAAGGATTGTACTTTTAAAAGCAAAAATAGGAAAATATTCAGGGGAGGAAAAAAGGCACATGCGTCAGATAGGAGAAGTGAAACGGATGAAGCAAACTAAGTGTGAATCTGCTACCTTCACTAGGAAAACCATCTGCATAAGCATCCATTTTTCTTCTCTGGGGTGGAGGTGGGGACCTGGGGAGATTTTCCTTAATCTTAACCCTGCCTTTATTCTGACCTCAGTAGTTGGAGCTTAGCACAGCACCTGGGACCTGACAGATGATCAGTAAAGAATGTTCCAGTTTTCGTTCATTCATTCTTTCTAAGTCATTGCTTATCCATCCTCTGCCTTGTCTCTTTCAGCTAAAGTAAACAAGCTAGGAGGAGCTAGAGGACGTAAACCTCGGATGGCATATAAAAGGGGATGATCTTAAGTGGGGAGTAAAACAACATGGGAGATCTTGGCTGGATCCAAGTCAGGAAGATCCGGTGCAAGAAGTACTCAAAAGAAACAATGGTAATAACAAATTCCGCTTTGGAGCTTATAGAACCCTCCACTACCTCACGATACTTTATTATCAAGGAATATCCCCTAACTAATCCCTCCTGACACTACTCACAAAGTCCCAGGGGATGTCCATGACACTGTAAAATACAGCAGCCTTAAATTAAAAAAAAAAATCATTTACATGTAGATCTGTGCTTGACAGAGTGTGCTGCTAAACAGATTGTACATGTGAAACTATTTAACACAGAGCCAGTAGTCAATAAATATTTGAATGAATTTAATAATTAACAGTGAATGATGAATTTAATAATTAACAGTGTAGGCCAGGCACTGTGGCTCACACCTATAATCTCAGCACTTTGGGAGGCCAAGGTGGGTGGATCACCTGAGGTTACAAGTTGGAGATCAGCCTAGCCAACACAGTGAAACCACGTCTCTATGAAAAATACAAAAATTAGCTGGGCATGGTGGCGGGTGCCTGTAATCCCAGCTACTCTAGAGGCTGAGTCAGGAGAATCACTTGAACCCAGGAGGCAGAGGCTATAGTGAGCTGTGATTGTGCCACTGCACTCCAGTCTGGGTAATGAAGTGAGACTCTGTCTCAAGAGAAAAAAAAAATTAACAGTGTAATGAATTGTGAACGGTTTTCCATGGTTGGTTGTTTTTTAAAAATAAAACCCAACATATTTAGAATATGAAGGCTTTAGCAGACACTTTAAGTATTGAAAAACACACAGAGCTGCCACTTACCACTCAATGGTTGGGAGAGGAGACCCGAAGAAGGCACAGTCTAATAAAGCAGGTCTGTTTGCGATGACCTGGTAGAGTGTGTTTGCAGGTGTGAGGATTCGTGGTGGCTCAGCTGCAAATATTTTTAAAAGGTAAAGTAACTATTACAATACTTTTTAGGACTGCAGTGTATTTATTGTATTTTGTTTCAAAGTCATTAAGGTTTATGGTAAAGCACAACCAATCTCTCTCATTTTTTGTATCAGGCATAATACTGCCAGTCACTCAAGGAAGAAAAATACATTTTTTTTCCTCTCTCTACCTCCCGCCCCACTTCTTGCTCAGGCATTATTTTAGTTGTTGATTTACTGTGAGTCCACTGCAGTCTTGGAATGAGACTTTTAATTGTTTTATCCCCAGCACAGCGTCTGGCACAAAAATAACAGTCAAGTATATTTTTGTCGAATGACTGACTCATCACAACCCTATTGGGTGGGAATGGTGGGAGAACACATAAGCTGGCAGAAAAAACCAGAGTGGTGAGCATGATGACTAAAAAAATGGAACTACAGCAACAGAAACAAAAACAGACAAATGGGATTACACCAAACTAAAAAGCTTACAGTCAGAGAGATAGTCAACAGAGTGAAGAGACAGCCTCTATAGAAGGGGAGAAAACATTTGCAAACCATCTGTCTGGTAAGGGGTTAATACCAAAATATATAAAGAACTCAAATAATTCAATATTTAAAAAATGAATAATCTGATAAAAATAGGCAAAGGACTGGACTAGACATTTATCAAAAGAAGATATACAAATGGCTGACAGGTATTATGGGAAAACGCCCAGCATCACCAGTCGTCAGATAAATGTAAATTAAAACCACATGAGATATTATGTCACACTTATTAGAATGGCTACTATCACAAAGAGGAGACCTAAGTGTTGACCAGCATGTAGAGGAAACGGAACATTTAATGCTGTGGGAGGGAATATAAGTTAGCATAGCCATTATGGAAAATATTATAAAGATTGTGTATACTGTTTATACTCAAAACATTAAAAATGAAACTACCACATGATCCAACAATCCCACTACTGGGTATATATATCAAAAGGAAATAAAATCAACATGTCAAGATATTTGAACCCTTTCATTCATTGCAGTATTATTCACAATAGTCAAGATGTGGAATCAACCTAAGTGCCCATAAATGAATGAACAGAATAAAGAAACTGTGGTATATACACACAATGGAATATCATCCAGCCTTAAAAAGAAGAAAATTCTGTCATTTCCTTCACGTCATTCATGTCTTGACAACATGGATGAACCTGTCAGACATTATGTTAAATGAAACAGACCAGATACAGAAAGACAAACATGGCATGATCTCCCTTATATGTAAAATCTAAAAACGTTGTTGAACTCATAAAAGTAGAGATGAGAAAGGAACCAGCAGCCAAAAGTGCTTTCTCAACATCCAACAATATCTTCACTGCTTAGCTCTTCAGTGGGATTAGTGACCTTCATGTCAAGCATGAAAGAAAAATACCAAGTCCTGGTTGGCTTTCTGATGGTCATTTTGTTTGAAAAGGAAGTATATTAATTTCAAAAGGTTGAAGTATAATTTCCTGGCACCATGAAAACAATTCTCACAAAAATGTTAACAAATGTGGTATTTTGGTAGTATTGTCCAATATAGGAAATATAACATTCACATAAACCAATTATTTGAGAATATGTTTCAGTATATCAGACTTTTAAAATATATTTTTACAAATAAATGTACATCTGTGACTTGGATGAAGTCCAAGTTTTATGATTAATGGTTTAGTTTTTAAAAATCAGAATCATTAAATTGTTATTTAACTTGTCAGTTTCTTGCGATGGAAGAGTAATAATATTCAGTTACTAATAGCAGACAAATGCTATTTTCCTTTTGAGGATTTGACACTTAGTCTATCCATCTGTAAGTGGAACAGCCTATTTGACTAGTTCTAGAATGAAGAATTTGCCAGCATAAAAACTGTGTTATTAAAGGACATTAAAACTGCAATATTCTCTAGGGCAAGGTTTATCTGATTCATCTCTTATAATTCCAAGTACTGTACAATGCACATAGTAGATGCTCAATGTATTTTTGCTGACTGAGCAGAAAATAACAACAGTAATCAATTTAATTTGCCATGTCTTTAATAAAAGGAGAGCTTACCCAGCACATTTATAAATGCGTTTGCCAGTAAATATCCATATTCATTAGAGGCATTGCACTGATATACTGCACTTGATCTTTCTTGAACATTTGAAAAAATAATGGTATCGCCATCAATTTTTCTGCTGGGGTCATCAGGGGCAACTGTTTGGATGTAAAAATAGAAAGTATTTATTCCTATTTGCTTAAAGGATGTATATTAAGCTTGTAAAGTCAGTAGGACATAAATAAAGGCGGATCTAAGTATATGTAGTAAGAGTAAGACCAGAATTTAGGCAGAAACCATAACACTTTTCTTAGAATTTAATATATTGGCAAGGATATGTGCTCAATATTCATATAGTCTGAAGTAGATTGATTCTGTAACACTAAGCACTATTTTGAGAGATGCAGAAAAAAAAAACTCCCATAAGTTTAGGTGAAAATTGCATTACAAATTCAGGAAAACATTCCTTGTTCAAGAGATTTTGGTTATTTATGAGAAAAAATAGTTAATGATCAAGAGGAAATAGCAAAAGCTAGTAAAAAATAAAGAAACACTCCAGCTGGCTCAAATCTGTTCCTTTTTGAAACCTCTTCTTGACATAAATAAATCAACAAATACATAAACACATAAATACGGGGCTAATAATCAAATGTGAAAATATTTATTTTTCTGCTTTGGATATTCTTGAAGCTGAAGTAGAAATAAATTGTGTACATTCTTCTTGAAGACAATGTTTTCAGCTAAATCTCTCAAGTACTTAAATGTTCGGAAACCAGGATTTGATCCTTACTGAAGTGGAATAGAACTGGCTGGGTAACGTAATATGTGAGGATTTAGTCCCAGGTATGTCCAGCAATTTGGAATTTCTGTGAGATTAAAGATGAATTCCTTTCTGTGAATGATACACTTCAGGCTCTGAGCTTATATTGCTTTAGAAGTACACTAAGAGGGATTTAGGTCTCTGTCTCAACATGATGATCAGAATCAAAATTAAATAACAGCACCTTTTCCCTTAAACTGCTCCTGCAACTTGAACCAATTAAGAAGATTCTATGTTCTTTCTAAACACTATTTCTTTTTCTTTGATGACAGGAAAAGAATATGCATCTAAGACATACTTATCACTGCACTTAGACTTATCACTTTTAAAATAAATTGGTTTCATCTGTGGTTTATTAACCCATTGTAACAAAAATCAACCAAACCACAGCACATCCTTGTTTTATGACATATACTTTGTGCCCTCATTCTGTAATAGTTTTCCACGATTGCTGTAACAAATTACCACAAATGTAGTGGCTTAAAACAACACAAATTTACTATCATAGAGTTCTGTAGGTTAGAAGTCTGACATGAGTTGCACTGAGCTAAAACCAGTGCATGCGCAGGGCTGCATCGCTTTCTGAAGATTCTAGGGGAGAATCCACATCCTTGCCTTTTCCAGCGTCTGAAGGCTGCCCACATTCCGTGGCCTATGGTCCACTTCCTCCATTTTCAAAGCTGTTGCTGTTGCATTTCTCTGATTGTTCTTCCATAGTCACTTTTCTTTCCCACCAGAGCCAGAAAAAGTACTCTGCTTTTGGTGGTTCATGTAATTAAATTGGGCCCCAATTAGACAGTCTAGGATAACCTCCCCACCTCAAGGCCCTTCACCTTAATCACACGTGCACACTCCTTTTTGCCACAGAAGGGGACGTATTCATGGGTTCCAGGGATTGGGATGTAGACATCGTGGCAGGGGGATTACTCTGTCTACCACATACTGAATCACATTGATAGTCTAAAAGCCTTTAGATGTTTTAGACTAGAATATTTTAAAAATTCACCATACATTTAAGTTCAGAACAAGTTTTTAGCATCCTAGGATTATTAAAACTCCAACTTATGAGTGACTCCTCATGGACTGATGAATGACTTCATTTCCAAGTAGGAATGTAAGAAGAAGTAGTTGTTCAACACTCCGCTCACCATCAGTAACTCATATACAATCATCTTAGATACTCTAGGTTGTTCAACCAGTGACGTGGGGGTGTCGAGATACTTTGAATTGGCTTCTTAGCTTACATCTCCTGTTTATGACTCTAATAATTTCAAAATTGCCTTATGGAACATGTTCTTCCAAACTGAAGACAAATACAAGTCATAATTCCTCCAACAGGGTAAACAGATTAATTCATAAAAGACAGCTGAGGATGGATATGTCACACTGGCCTAGAAAGTGAACTGTAGCTGTGGCAGGCAGTCACGAACCCTGAAAACACAGTGTGCCTTAGGGTGGCCCATGGGTCCCAGATCCCAAGTCTTGCATCACTGGGGCGTTTCTGACTCACACAATCTCAGTGATGCTCACCCACTGCCTCAACAAGGGGTTCTGGAACATATAGCAGCATTTCTGGAGACTTGTTCTCTGTCAGTGATTCTTAGCACTTCTGGTCGTTATACAAAAAAGATACTTGCACATGCATGTTTATAGCAGCACAATTTGCAACTGCAAAAATATGGAACCAGCCCAAATGCCCATCAATCAATGAGTGGATATAAAATTTCATCATATGTGTGTGTATATATATATATATGTGTGTGTATATATATATATATATATATATATAATTTCATCATATATATATATAATGAAATACTACTCAGCCATACAAAGGAATGAAATAATGGCATTCACAGCAACCTAGATGGAACTGGAGATCAGTATTCTAAATGAAGCAACTCAGGAATGGAAAAACAAATATTATATGTTCTCACTCATAAGTGGGAGCTAAGCTATGTGGATGCAAAGGCATAAGAATGAGATACTAAACTCTGGGGACTCAAAGAAAAGTGTGGGGGGCAGCAAGGGACAAAAGACTATATCGGGTGATGGGTGCACCAAAATCTCAGAACTTATTCATGTAACCAAATGCCACCTGTTCCCCAAAAATCTATGGAAATAAAAAATAATACAAAAATAAAGTAGAGAAACAAACTGAATTTTTAAGGTCACTAAAAAAAAAAAAAAAAGATTCTTAGCACCTCTGGACCTAGCACTTGGGCTCTCAGTGCTGGGACTCTTCAGGGCACTCTCAGTGCCCACCATGTGCCCACCCTGACCGCATCTCTGTGGATATTCCAGGCAGTGGAGTGGAGTGGCTGTGTATTTAGACCGTGATGAGGCCCAGGCAGAGCTCTGGGCCGAATCTTTCTGGATGGGTGGCAGACTATATTAAGAAGTTTTCTTCAAATTCCTTAGATATATTGAGATTTTAAAAGTTACATCAACGTGTGACATTTAATGAATAAAGGGTTCTAGTTCCAAAGATCTGTTGCCCAATAATGTGACTATATTTAACACTACTGAACTTTGAACTTAAAATGGTTAGGATGGTAAATTTTGTGTTATGTGTTTTTACCACAATAATAATAATGTTATGCGACCATGAACATGGAAGACAAAGCTTAACAATGTCCACAGGACAATTTTCCCCAAGTGGAGACTCATCAGTCACAAATAAACCATGTCAGAAACATTTTCTGTAGCTCTCAGTTGCAGTTTTCTTTGCTAGCAACTCTTTGGGAAGATGTCTTTTACCTGAAAAGCACGTGACTGTATTTGCCTTATATATGTTAAATAGAGCAGTCTTTAAATATTTATTTTTGGCAAGGTATTTAGGAACAAAATAAACCCTTTAGGAAAGAATAATGAGTAAGCAGACCTCTCTCCATGGGAGTTTGGGCTATATTTTCCTTAAGTCCTTGTTTAAAAAATGCAAACAACCCCAGGAACTGTCATGGTGACATATGGAGGCTTGGTTGGTTGCTGGACATAATGTAAAATCACTAATGTAGAGACATCTGAAGCCTTTGGATGGGCTGGCTAGAGGGTAGAGTAACTCTCTAGCATGCAAATCCAAGTTATCCAGAGGAATAACCATTAATTCTGGGAATAATCAACTTCATTTGCTGTCAATGAACACTGGAGAGAGGAATTTAAAAGCACAGAATCACCACAAATAACTTAAAGCCCCAAAGGTAAGGTCCAGAACTGGGGTGACGGCCTTCAGAAAATACTTTCTTTTAAAGCAGCTCTCCTGATGTTGGTGGGTAAAACTAAATGCTTTCAACATTTAGATAATGAAAATAATAATAATCATGCCACCTTACATGAACAGAGTATGATCAATCTTTAAAATATTTTACATTTACTGCATAATTTTATTTTAAAAAGAACTTTGTGAAACAGATTAATCAGATAGTATTTTATGCATCATGAAGATGAGAGACGGCAAATGGGAGCACACACTGGTTTGTTTAAATGAGGTTACTGCTCAGGTTTTCTCAGGAGACTTTGTAAACATTTGCCGGAATGTGAACATTTGGGCATAATGTAGAACAAATTTCCAGGTGGAGTTAAATTTTCCTCTTCATTTTCTTATTCCACTCCTACAAGGGGATGCCACTGAGCCCCTTAGTTTTGTGAAAAGGAAGAATGGAGGATGCCTTGATGAAATCCCAGGAATATCCTGGGCTAGTCCTCCATTCTCCTGGTGCTTATCTTATGTTGCTGGCTTTCAACATCTTTTATTGTAAGCAAAACATGTCATTGTGCTAGGAGAAGGTCTTCTGTCCACTCTCATTCTCTTAGTTCTTTTCCCTCCTCATCCCTGAGAGGACAGGGGCCTTTTAATACAATAATGGTGTGATCTTATACATGTTTCATGCGTAAGAGTCTGAGAGACCTAATACAATGGACGTTGGAAACTGTGAAGGATCTGCAAATGTTAGACTCTCCCGCAGAGATAGGAGTCACAGTGGCCATGGCCTTGGGCATCACCACCCGGATGGCACAGGTTCTCCAATGGGGAAGACCAAGAGGAGGAAAAATGAACTCAAAGACATTCACCGAAGGGTGACTGTGAAGTCCTGAAAGGCAACCTCCTGGGGGACAGCAGGGAAATGCTTGGCCCCATCCTGCCAATAGCAAGTTCATCTTCTTTCTGGTCCTGGGTTCTATTTTCACACCCTCCCATCACATAATAAAATCAAAGCTCTCTTTTGGTACCAGTTCTCTGCAGCTGTGTTCTTCTTCCTGACTTCTGTAGATTGTTTTAAAACTATTTTAGGTGTTTTTGGGAAAATTCCACATTTATTTAATGCAGCCTGTGATTTGTGCTTCAAGAAAGCTTTAAGTAATCTGGCAAGTCCTGGGGAGTGGAGAAGGGCAAAGCTTTAGAAGACACTGAGATAAAAGCCCAGACACTTCTGGAGTTAATTTTTCCAGTCTTTTAAAACAGTAGCTTTCAGGTCTGAAATGCACGGTCACAGATCAATAACATCACATTTTGCTAACAGAACCCATCTTACCACTCCCTTCCCTGAACCAGCTTCTCCTTTTACAGTATTTGTGTGCACTTGGCAGCCAGAGCCTGCAGAGGCTGGAGGAGGCAGTCAGTGTCCTTAGGTGCTCGCCCACAAGTCAGGAGTGGGGTGGCTGTATATCTGGCAGTATGGTCCCCTGACTGTGTCTCTGTTGTGTGGCACAGGAGACAAACTTCAGGCACCTGGAGGGGACACTGCACAGCTCCTGCAGGACAGAACTTCAGAGGCACAGCTGTTTCTTGCCCCTAACCCTCAGCAACTGGTCCACCTGCAATGTCTATAGTCCCTTGGGTAGAAAGTATGGTCAGCAAGCCAGCTCTTGCTCCCAGCTAACTTCTGAGGCCTATGCTATGACAAAGGCGAGGAGTCCTCACTGTGCTAATTCAGCACCGTCACACACTGTGGCAGACTGTGCCCTCAGTTCCTAGCTTCACCTCTTGGCATCTCCCTGCCATCCTTTCCCTGTATCCCAGCGCTGCTAGATGTATCTATGGGGTGGACAAGTCAGAAAACTGCAGATGGAAACAAGCACTGGTGCCCCCTTTCCAGGGTAGTCCCCAACCCTCAAAGGCAATTCCCTTTAGGGGCCTCTAAATTCACAGAGCAAGTACCAACCAGGGGATGAAAGGGATGGCAGCACAGGGCTCCTTAAACATCTATCGATTTTTTGGATAGTTTCCGCACCCCTCTCATTTTCTCATTATTTTGGATCAGGGGAGATCAACACACGGTGGGAGCATGCAGGGTTCACTTTGTACTTAGCTGCTTAAGACTTAGCATCCACCTAAGAGGCCACTTAGCAGAAGCTGGAGATGGGTCAGCTGCAGAAGGGTGAGGCAGGGAACAGCCGTACCTTTGCAGTGTCATAGAGCAGAAAGCTGGGCAGGGGCCCTGCTGGCTCACTGCCTTTTAGTTATGAGATGTCCAAATGGTAATCCACCTTCAGCTTGGCCACGAGATGTCCAGAAAGACCCCTTCCAGGGAAGCTGCCCATCACCTTGGTATAAACATGTAGCACCTGCTCCCAGCACCATGGAGCAGCCTGGTGGTGCCAGGCTCCTTGCTTTGCTTCCACACCATGTGGTATTCCTCTCCCCGCATGTCCACCACAGTGACAGCTCTGAGGCACACTAGAGGTTGAGCGACACTGTATCTTAGGAGCTGTGGAATTCCAGCCACGCTGGCTCAGACTCCTTTTTTTTCCGTCTCATGGGGCTTAAAAAAGAGTTTTGGGATGGAAAAAATGAGCTGATCTGATTGGAGATATTTAGTCCTAACTCTTTCTTCTCTACCTAATCAGACAATTTAAGGTTGCAAGGCGACCTAACTTGTCTCCCCAGTATTACTGCTCTCTATCTCCAAAGCAGGCCTTTTGCAGCTGATCCTCCCCACAAAAATGTAACTTAAAAGGGGAGTATTATCATATTATGAGTGTATTTTCTTTCTCCTTCCTTCCTTCCTTCCTTCCTCCCTCTCTCCCTTCCCTCTTCCTTCTTCTCTCTCTCTTCTTTTCCTTTCCCTCCCTCCCTCTTGCTCTCTCTTTCTTTCTTTCTCTCTTGCTCTGTTGCCCAGGCTGGAGTGCAGTGGCATGATCTTGGCTTACCACAGCCTTCACCTCCCGGGTTCAAGCGATTCTCCTGCCTCAGTCTCCTGAGTAGCTGGAATTACAGGCACACACCACCACATCCAGCTAATTTTTGTATTTTTAGCAGAGATGGGGTTTCACTATGTTGGTCAGGCTGGTCTCAAACTCCTGACATCATGATCTGCCTGCCTTGGCCTCCCAAAGTGCTGGGATTATAGATGTGAGCCACCACACCTGGCCATGAGTATATTTTCAAGGCCCCTAGGATGATTGGATTTGCAAGATTTCTTCAGAGGCACTGCATACTCTGGTACTACGGTCCGAATATTTGTGTCCCTCCAAAACTCATGTTGAAACTTAACTCCAAGCTTAAGAGGCGGGGTCTTTGGGAGGTGATTAGGAAATAAGACTTTCCCCCTCATGAATGGGACTGCTGCTGTTCTAAAGGTCTTGAGGGAGCCCGTATGCCCCCCTCTACCATGTGAGGACACACAGCAGCATCTGTGAGGAACAGCCCATCACTAGACACCAAATCTGCTAGTGCTTTGTTCTTGGACTTTCCAGCCTCCAGAACTGTGAGCAATAAATTTCTCTTGTTTATAAATTACCCAGTCTAAGGCATTTTATTATAGCAGCAGGAATGGACTAAGACAGCCGGTTTAGAAGGACAACAAGCTGAGCAAATCAAGACAAAAAATCAGCCTCATTAATGAATCCCCCGTTGCTTATGTCATCTACCCACATCTCAATTTTCCTTGCATAGGATTGCACTCTGGCTGCCCAGCTTTATCCCCTGGCTCCCCCGTTTTCCCTGCTGAAGGGCTCATGGATGGTCCCTTCCGTTTGTCAGTTTCACTGAATCTAGATCTCAGGGGCACTTTTAACTTTCCATAAATGGACACAAAAACTCTGAGCTGCAAAATGTCTTGCAAAAGTATCAAGCGTGTATCATCCTGTATTGCCACTTTGTATGCATTCCTGAGAAAATCATACATTGTACCAGCTAATTTTTTATGTTTTGTAGAAACAGGATTTTGCCATGCTGCCCAGGCTGGTCTCTAACTGCTGTACTCAAGCAATCTGCCAGCCTTAGCCACTGAAAATAGCTGGGATTACAGGTGTGAGCCACTGCACCTGGCCACCATAAAACTTTAGTTCTGGGCTTTCTTCTACTTTTTCCTCTCAGTTTTTGCTCATACTCCCCTGAGAGTAGCAAGAGCTTCCTAAAACACAACCACAAAGCATTTTCTGCCATCTCTCCTGATCCTGATTCTGGTTAAAATTGGAAGTGGAAGTATCCAAACCCCATTTGCTGGCCTCTAGCATCTGTTTTTTCCCAGGAATACACTTCCTTTTACAGTGAACACAGGCTGCCTGTTTCAAAGTATCTGACAGCGACTGCGCTATGAGACACAAGTGAACTTCCAATAAACACTCTTCCAATAAAAACATCAGGCAGGCTGCAATGACTCAGTCACCCTGCAGTTGTCAGACCTTGATGGTGAGAAACAGGAACTTGTGCCACTTTAAATCTATCAGCAGTTTTTTGCAACCGTCTTAGGGGAAGTGTGTGTGTTACTTCGGGAAAGTCAATTCAGCAGAACTTCTGCTTATGTAAGTGTAGAACCAATACTGGATTCTGACCTGGAGGCAGTCAAAGCCAGTCTGCCCTGTATCATAAGCTTGAGGGCTGTCTTTGTGAGTAAAGAATAGTTTGGCAGGTAATCATGTTATTGACTGGGAGGGTGAAACCAAGGCTGGGTTTAACTTTCTCTGTCTCAGTGTCTAAGAGGAGGTCTGAACTCCAAGAAGGGGAAAATGTTAAAAGATGTTCCTCTTGGCAGTAGCTGGCGGTGGGTGGGGTGGAAGAAGAGGAGAGTCCACTGGGATCACTCTGTTCATGGCCATGGCTTAGGAATTCAGGAGCAGTGAGGTGCAATATCCATTTAAAGTTTTTTCTTTGTTATAATTCCCTCGACTCTCCCTAAGCCTTTAGCCAAGTTTTGTAAAGCTAGTCTTTGCTATGATTTAGTAGATTAATGGGACGGCCTGAAGCCACATGTTGGGCAGCATAGTGGCAGCTTGGAGAAACTGGCTAATGAAGAGAAAGGAGTAGAGCAGCAGAGCCTGGAGGCTGCTCAGTGGGGTGATAGGTACGACCAGGCTGCCCAGGTGCTGCTCAAGGATGACACTGGCAGCTCTGAGGGAGGGAACACTACTCAGAGGTAAAGCATCCTGGATCTGATCAGGGTCAGAGGATGCGTTCTTCTTTGGGTGCCAAATGGGACAGTGACTTTGGGAGACTGGAGAACGTGGGAACACCTGGGCTATACTTATGACTGAAAACTCTTTAAATTAAAGACAGCTAGGTTTCCTATGCTTGATGTATCGACTGCCTCTATACTGACTCTCCCCACCTATCTCCTCCAGCGCCTGTGACATTTCCACAAATCACCTGATGTTTTGCACAAAGATCATCTAAACTTTTCAGTGATATTTATTTCTGACCCTGTTTTTCTTCACAATATCCATGTAAAAAACAGAGGAAATATTGTCAGGTCCTAGTTATCACATACCATTATGTTAACAACACAAACTACTCACATTCATAATGAATATCTAATGGTAATAAAACTTTAAAGGTAATTTGGTACCTCTGTTTAACACACATGTGGCTTCCTTCCTTAACCGGAATTATTTTTTAGCACCATTTGTTCACTGTTGGGATGTATATATGCTTGGAAAATATACTGCAACCAGAACCAATCAACACAACTTACTTTCTATTGGGACTCCATTTGTTAACCAGCTAATTCTGGGTTTGGGGTTGCCATTAGCTCTGCAGATCAAGGTCCCATCCTCTCCTGGGGACAGCACAAGATTTTGAGGGGCCATGATCCAGTATGGAGCCGCTTTATAGGAGGAAGTAAAAAGACCAAAAATCTGAATCAAAGAAGCATTTTGGCAAAAGAACATTTCGACTATTCTAATAATACAAGAAAGTACTTCACACCAAACTGGTTAGTCTGTTTTTTTTTTTTTTTTTGAGTGAACAGATTTATAAACAATGCTTCAAAGAACACTTAAGATTTTCAAAAGAATGTTTAAAGAGACTCACTGACATATATGTATTATTTCTAGACCTGTTTGATACAAATATCATTTTCTCATTTTACATTAAAATTAATCAGATATCAAAGAGGTGACAGATCTATCTAAGCATACAGAGCAAATTACAGGTACAGGTAGGGCTAAGAAACAAATTTAAATTCAGAGCCAAGCACAGTGACTCATGCCTATTATCTTGACACTTTGGGAGGCCAAGGTGGCTGGATCACTTGAGGTCAGGAGTTCAAAACCAGCCTGGCCAACATGGTGAAACCCTGTCTCTATTAAAAATACAAAAATACTAGCCAGGTTTGGTGGTGGGCATCTGTAATCCCAGCTACTTGGGAGGCTGAGGCAGGAGAACTGCTTGAACCCAGGAGGTGGAGGTTGCAGTGAGCCAAGACTGTGCCGCTGAACTCCAGCCTGGGCAACAGAGTGAAACTCTGTATTAAAAATAAATAAATTAAATTAAATTAATTCTGAGTCCTGTAGGATATATAAAATTATATAATTAGGAAGCAGTGTAAAAACATCATTTTTGAAAAGTTGCAAAGGTATTATAGCTTTTCCATACATCCTTCACGCAGCTTCCTCTCACTTTAACATCTTACATCACCAGGTCCAGTTACCTAACGAAAAGTTAACACTGGTATTTAACTAAACTATACATTCTGTTAGGATTTCCCCAGTTTTTGCATTAATGTCTTGTTTCTGTCCCAGGATCCTGTCCTAGATACCACATTTACTTGTAACATTTTTTACATTTACTTGTCATAGTCTCCAATCTGACAATTTCTTGGTCTTTCCTTGTCTTTTGTGACTTTGACACTTTTGAAGAGTACTGGTCAGTTATTTCAAAGACTGCCTTACAGCTTAGGTTTGTCTGATGTTTTCTCATGATTACCCTGAGGTTTTGGGCTTTTGAAAATATCCCAAAGGCAATGAACCCTTCTAATTGTACCATATGAGGGAATATATGATATCAATCTGACTCATTACTGTTGACGTTAACATTCGTCACTTCATTTAGACAGTGTCTGCCAGGTTTCTCTGCTCCAAAATTACTATTTCCCTGGATTCCATATGCTGTTCATTAATGTCCAGTATCCACTCAAGAAGAGGGGAAGTAAGCTCCATCTTCCAGAGAAGGGAGTAATAAAGAATTTGTGGATATATTAAAACTTCCCCAGGCCAGGTGCAGTGGTTCACACCTGTATTCCCAGCACTTTGGGAGGCTGAGGCGGGTGGATCACGAGGCCTGGACATCAAGACCACCCTGGCCAACATGGTGAAACCCCATCTCTACTAAAAATACAAAAAATTAGCCAGGCATAGTGGTGCATGCCTGTAGTCCCAGCTACTCTGGAGGCTGTGGCAGGGGAATCATTTGAACTGGGAGGCAGAGGTTGCAGTGAGCCGAGATAGCACCACTGTACTCCAGCCTGGCAACAGAGCAAGACTCTGTCTCAAAAAAACAAAAAACAAAACAACAACAACAACAAAAACTTCCCAGTAATTAATTTCTAGAGGAGAGAAACACTTTGAAGCCATGCAAATATCCTATTTCTCCTTAACATTTCACCCACCAATTTTAGCATTCATTGCTTGATCTTGCCTGCTGCAGTTATTACTGTGGGATTCTAATGTTGACTCTTCTATTTCCCTCATTCTTCCTATGTTTATTAACTGGGATTCTTCTGTGAGGAAGATTTGAAGAGTAAATTTTTAACCTGATTTAGACAAACTACAAATAGCAATGAGAAGAGAGTCAAGGTATCATGAATGTTGACATAAATTTACATTTATCATTATTAAAAAATATAATCAAAAGCACATTAATTAAAGTTTCAGGGTCTCTCATGAAGGAAAGAAGATGCATTTTAAACAATATACCTTTAACTCTAACAGAAATGGTATGGTGGATGGCTCCTAATGCATTTTTTGCTATACATTGGTAATTTCCAGAGTCTGCTTCTGAAACATGAGTGATCTGCAAGGTTTTCTTAAAGTTCTTATAAGATGTCCTGTTGGTGGGTAAAATTCCATCTTCTTTTGCCCAGTAAATAAGTGGGGTAGGCCTGATAGGATAAATAAATAATGATGTTATAAAAAAGAAATCCAACTATCAATACTTTTAAGGGTGAATTTTCATGCAAGTTTGTAACAAATCTTTATATAAAAATCACAAGAAATATATAGATATTTTAATTAGCACCACACTTTTATAAATAATGCTCACAGTTTTACATTTTCACATAATCAGAACTATACTAATTTATGGCACACCATGAACTTTGATGTCAATGATGCAGTGTGAATGCCAGCATGAGTTGCTTTACTGATGGGGTCTAATTATTTTCTTCCACGTTCTGACTAATGAGGAACTCTCAGAAATGTTTACATGAAGCTACTATGTTAATCAAAATAATTACTATTATATAAATGATACTGAATTATAATTTTTCCTCAGCTAGAATTAAAAATGTACAGAGAAAAACTCATAAACATATATATGACCACAAACCTTTGCATTCATTTCCATATCAAATGGAAGAACTTTTCTGTTTTACAGCAGTCTGTCTGATGATGTGAGCTAAGTGATTAGGGAAACAGCATTCTTTCCTTAGTTTCATTATTAGTGACATTTAAAAATATTATACTAACTGATTAGAATAGATCAAATTTAGGTATCACTCATACCATTTGTCACCCAATTTTGTTTTTTATCGTCATGAAATATGGAGACAGATGAAAAGTCAGAATACAGGCTTAAACTTAGAAGGTCCTTACAATTCCAACCCTGTCCCTAGATTTCTGATCTTTTTGAGCCTTTAGTTTCCTTAGTTGCCTTAATGGGGATAATAATGTTTGACTTGAACTAATGACTTCAGAAGGTTTTCATGACGGTAAAATAAAAATCCATTCAACACAAAAATTTCCTAAGCATTGAACTATATATACGCCAAGCATTGAATTGTGTGTTGGGAAGATGATGAAGCAACTATGGTCCCCAGGGCCTCAGGAAGATAACAGTATTTGTCAATAGCAATGCAAGTGACTCTGAATAAGAACGGCTCAGCCCAGAAGGGACCATCATGGTAGATGGGAGACAAAACTAGATTACAGCTCTGAATGGACAGAGCAGCATGTGGAGGCTCACATCGTGAATTTTAGCTCCAGAATGACTGCAAGAATAAACCTGCTGAGAGGACTCGCAGACTCTCTGAAGAAATCAGACTGCTCCTGCAGGACCCAGGAGACATCCCAAATACTGTGAGTGCCCAAACTGCAAAAGTGGGAAACTGAAGGTCTAGTTTGCAGGAGAAGTTTCTGAACTTACCTGGAGCTGAGTCAATTTAGAGAGCGGAGCGAAATACAGGGGTAGAGGAAGCAGCAGGAAAGGCCCTGGGAGCTTACTGGGTCCCCAAGCAGCCCATTCCTGCCTGGCACCACAGGGATCCATCAGGACGGCAGCCAGAGGCATAGGGGAAAATGCCACAGGGGGGAAGGAAGTCTCCAGTTGAACTTTGTAACAATTTGAACTGGGCTAGAAGCTTCCTGGTCAGAACTCGAGGGACAGCACGAATCTGGCACGTAGATTCCACAGGTGGGGAAGAACCAAGCCCTTTTCTTACACAGCTTGGAGGCAGGTAGCCTGGGGCAAGTTCTCAAGTCCCGCTCACTCACTGCCTGGAAACAAACTTGGGGCTCTTAGGGGATGCACTGTGGGAGTGAGACTGGTCTTTTGGTTTGCATGGGAGCTAGGTAAGTCTTGTGACCTCTGGATTTCCCTTGTTTCCCCAACAACCTCCATGACTCAGCAGAGGCAGCCATAATCCTCCTATGTACATAACTCCATTGACCTGGAAACCTCACTCCATCTCCAACAGCAGCTACAGCAAGACCCAACCAAGAAGAGTCTGAGCTCAGATATGCCTAGCCCTGTCCCCAACTGGTGGGCCTTCCCTACCTACCCTGCTAGCTGAAGACAAAGAGCATATAATCTTGGGAGTTCCACAGCCCCACCCACTACCAGTTCCTCTTCATACTACCACAACTGATGTTCTCTGGAAAGCACCACCTCACAGCAGGTGGCCAACCAGCACAAAAATAGAACATTAAATCACCAAAGCTAAGAGCCCTCACAGAGTCCATTTCAATCCCCTGCCACCTCCACCAGAACATGTGCTGGTACCCATGGTGGAGAAACCCATGGTTCACATCACAGGACCCTGTGCAAACAGCTCCCAGTACCAGCCCAGAGCCCGGTAGACTTGCTGGGTGGCTAGACTCAGAAGAGAGATAACAATCACTGCAGCTGGCTCACAGGAAGTCACATCTATAGGAAAAGGGGGAAGAGTACTACATCAAGGGAACACACCATGGGACAAAAGAATCTGAACAACAGCCTTCAGCCCTAGACCTTCCTCTGACAGAGCCTACCCAAATGAGAAGGAACCAGAAAACCAACTCCGGTAATATGACAAAACAAGGCTGTTTAACACCTGCTAAAAATCACACTAGCTCACAGCCATAGGTCCAAACTAAGAAATCCCTGATTTACCTGACAAAGAATTCAGAAAGTTAGTTATTAAGCTAATCAGAGAGGCACCAGAGAAAGGTGAAGCCCAATGTAAGGAAATCCGAAAAGCAATAAAAGAAGCAAAGCAAGAAACAGTCAAGGAAATAGACACCATAAAGAAAAAACAATCAAAACTTCAGGAAACATTGGACACACTGATAGAAATGCAAAATTCTGTGGAAAGTCTCAGCAATAGAATTGATCAAGTAGAAAAAAGAAATTAAGAGCTTGAAGACAAAGTCTTTGAATTAACCCAATTCAACAAAGATAAAGAGAAAAGAATAAGAAAATATGAACAAAGCCTCCAAGAAGTCTGGTATTATGTTAAACGACCAAATCTAAGAATAATCAGTGTGCTGAAGAAGAATAGACATCTAAAAGTTTGGAAAACATATTTGGGGGAATAATTGAGAAAAACTTCTCTTGAGATCTAGATATTCAAATACAGGAAGCACAAAGAACACTTGGGAAATTCATCACAAAAAGATCTTCAGCGAGGCACATTGTCATCTGGTTATCCAAATTTAAGATGAAGAAAAGAATCTTAAGAGCTGTGAGACAAAAGCATGAGGTAACCTATAAAGGAAAACGTATCAGATTAACAGCAGATGTTTCAGCAGAAACCCTACAAACTAGAAGGAATTGGGGCCCCATCTTCAGTCTCCTCAAACAAAAAAATTATCAGTCAAGAATTTTGTATACAGGGAAACTAAGCATCAGATATGAAGGAAAGATACAGTCTTTTTCAGACAAATGCTGAGAGAATTCACCACTGCCAAACCACCACTACAGTAACTACTAAAAGCAACTAAATCTTGAAACAAATCCTGGAAACACATCAAAACAGAACCTCTTTAAAGCATACATTACACAGGACCTATAAAACAAATATATAACTTAAAAAGCAAAAACAGGTCAGGTGTGGTGGCTCACGCCTATAATCCCAGCACTTTGGGAGGCCGAGGCGGGTAGATCACGAGGTCAGGAGATCAAGACCATCCTGGCCAACATGATGAAATCCCACCTCTACTGAAACTACAAAAAAAATTAGCTGGGTATGGTAGCACACGCCTATAGTCCCAGCTACTTGGGAGGCTGAGGTAGGAGAATTGCTTGAACCCAGGAGGCAGAGATTGCAGTGAGCCGAGATTGCACCACTGCACTACAGCTTGGGTGACAGTGCAAGACTTCATCTAAAAAAAAAAAAAAAAAAAAAAAGTAAAAGCAAAAAATAGAAAAACAAAGGTACATAGGCAACAGATAGTACAATGAATGCAAGGGTACCACATATCTCAATACTAACATTGAATATAAATGGCCTAAGTGTTTCACTTAACAGACACAGAACTGCAGAATGGATAAGAACTCACCACCAAGTCTCTGTGGCCTTCAGGAGACTCAACTAACACATAAGGACTTACATAAACACAAAGTAAAGGAATGGAAAAAGGAATTTCATGCAAATGGACACCAAAAGTGAGCAGAGATAGCTATTCTTGTATCAGACAAAACAAATTTTAAAGCAACAGCAGTGAAAAGAGACAAAGAGGAACATTACATAATGGTAAAAGGCATTGTCCAGCAGGAAAATATCACAATTCTAGACATATATGCACCTAACACTGGAGCTCCGAAATTTATAAAACAATTACTAATAGACCTAAGAAATTAGATAGACCGCAGCACAATAATAGGGTGGACTTCAACACTCCACTGACAGCACTAGACAGGTAGGTCATCAAGACAGAAAGTCAACAAAGAAACAATGGATTTAAACTATACCTTGGAACAAACTATACCTTGGAACAGATATATACAGAACATTTCAGCCAATGACTGCAGAATACACATTCTATTTAACAGCACATGAAACTTTCATGAAGATGGACCATATGATAGGCCACAAAATGATCCTCAATAAATTTAAGAAAACTGAAATTATATCAAGCACTCTCTCAGACCACAGTGGAATAAAACTGGAAATCAACTCCAAAAGGCACCTTCAAAGCCATGTGAAAACATGGAAATTAAATAATCTGCTCTGGAATGATCATTGGGTCAAAAATGCAATGAAGATGGAAATTAAAAAATTCTTCGAACTGAATGACAATAGTGACACAAGCTATCAAAACCTCTGGGATACAGCAAAGGCAGTGCTAAGAGGAAAGTTCATAGCCCTAATCGCCTACATCAAAAAGACTGAAAGAGCACAAACTGACATTGTAGGGTAAAAATTAAGGAACTAGAGAAACAAGAACAAATCAAACCCAAGCCCAGCAGAAGAAATGAGGTAAGACTGGAGCAGAACTAAATGAAATTGAAGCAAACCAACAGAAAATACAAAAGATAAATAAAACAAAAAGTTGGTTCTTTGAAAAGATAAATAAGATTGATAGATCATTAGCAAGATTAACCAAGAAAGAAGATGGAAATTCCGAATAACCTCATTAAGAAATAAAACAGCAAGTATTACAACTGACACCACTGAAATATAAAAGATCATTCAAGGCTGCTATGAACATCTTTACACACACAAACTAGAAAACCTAGACAAGCTGAATAAATTCATGGAAAAATACAACCCTTTAAATCAGGAAGAATTAGATACCTTGAACAGACTAATAATAAGCAGCAAGATTGAAACAGTAATTAAAAAATTACCAACCAAAAAAAGTCCAGACAAGACTGAGTCACAGCAGAATTCTACCAAATTCTTTCGACACTTTTTCACAAGCTAGAGAAAAAGGGAACCCTCCCTAATTCAATTGATGAAGCCAGCATCACCCTAATGCCAAAACCAGGAAAGAATACAACCAAAAAAGAAAACTACAGACTGATATCCCTCATGAACATAAATGTTAACATCCTTAACAAAATGCTAGCTAACCAAATCCAACAACATAGTAAAAAGATAATTCACTATGATCAAGTGAGTTGCATATTAGGGATGCAGGAATGGTTAACATATGCAAGTCAATAAATGTAATACACAACATAAACAGAATTAAAAACAAAATCACATTATCATCTCAATAGATGTAGAAAAAGCATTTGACAAAATCCAGCATCCCTGTATGATTAAAACTCTCAGCAAAATTGGCATATAAGGGACATACCTCAATGTAATAAAAGCCATCTATGACAAACCCACAGTTAACATAATACTGAATGGGGAAAAGCTGAAAGCATTCCCTTTGAGAACTGGAACAAGACAAGAATGTCCACTCTCACCACTCCTCTTGAGCACAGTACTGGAAGTCCTACCCAGAGCAATCAGACAAGAGAAAGAATCCAAATCAGTAAAGAGGAAGTCAAACTGTCACTGTTTGCTGATGATATGATCATTTACCTTGAAAACCCTTGAGACTCCTCTAGAAAGTCCCTAGAACTGATAAAAGAATTCAGCAAAGTTTCCAGATAGAATATTAACGTATAAAAATCAGTAACTCTTCCATACACCAACAGCGACCAAGTGGAGAGTAAAATCAAGAACTGAACCACCTTTACCATGGCTGCCAAAAGGAAAAAATACTTAGGAATATACCTAACCAAGGAGGCAAAAGACCTCTCCAAGGAAAACTATAAACCACTGCTGAAAGAAATCAAAGATGATACAAACAAATGGAAACACATCCCATGCTCGTGGATGGGTAAAATCAATATTTTGAAAATGATCATACTGTCAAAAACAATCTACAAATTCAATGCAATCCCCATCAAAATACAACCATCATTCTTTACAGAATTAGAAAAAGAATTCTGAAATTCATATGGAACCAAAGAAAGGCCCACATAGCCAAAGCAAGACTAAGCAAAATGAACAAATCTGGAAGCATCACACTACCTGGTTTCAAACTATACTATAAGGCTACAGTCACCAAAACAGCATGGTACTGGTATAAACATAAGCACATAGACCAGTGGAACAGAATAGAGAACCCAGAAATAAACCCAAATACTTACAGCCAAGTGATTTTCAACAAGGCAAACAAAAACATAAGGTGGGGAAAGGACACCCTTTTCAACAATTGGTTCTAGGATAATTGGCCAGCCACAGGCAGGAGAATGAAACTGGATCCTCATCTCTCACCTTATATAAAAATCAAATCAAGTGGGATTAAGGACTTAAATCTAAGACCTAAAACTACAAAAATTCCAGAAGATAACATTGGGAAAACCCTTCTAGACATTGGCTTAGGCAAGGAATTCATGACCAAGGACCCAAAAGCAAATGCTATAAAAACAAAGATAAATAGCTGGGACTTAACTAAAGAGCTTTTTCACGGCAAAAAGAACAGTCAGCAGAATAAATAGACAACACACAGAATGGGAGAAAATCTTCACAATCTGTACATCTGACAAAGGACTAATATCCAGAATCTACAACAAACTCAAACAAATCAGCAAGAAAAAAACAGACATTCTCATAAAAAAGTAGGCTAAGAACATGAATAGATAATTCTCAAAAGAAGATATGCAAACGGCCAACAAACATATGCAAAATGCTCAACATCACTGATAATCAGGAAAATGCAAATCAAAACTACAATGCAATACTGCCTTACTCCTGCAAGAATGGCCATAACCAAAAAATCAAAAAAACAGTAGATGTTCATGTGGATGTAGTGTCAGGGACCACTTCTACACTGTGGGAATATAAACTAGCACAGCCACTAGGAAAACAGTGTGGAGATTCCTTAAAGAATCAAAAGTAGAACTGCCATTTGATCCAGCAATTCCACCACTGGGTATCTACCCAGTGGAAAAAAAGTCATTATACAAAAAAGATACTTGCACACGCATGTTTATACTTGCACACACCTATATCTCAATAACCTATGGAAAATAAAAAATAATTTAAAAAAAGAACAGCTTAGCCCAATCATCACATGGAACCATGAGAAATAATAAATTATGGTTCAAGCAAAAATTGATTATAAAATTGGGTTGGCTTGTTTGGTTGAGTAGAAAAAACTGAGCATATTTTTCTGATGAAATAGCTTCTAGAATTAAAACTAGCTATAAATATAAAAATTAAGTCGATTTTAAAAAACTATATACATGTAGACTCTGATAACATTTTGATATTTTCTGGTAGACTAATCTGCATCTCAGATAAGAAGGTAAGAAGGAGATGGAGACAGAAACATAATTTCATAGTTTGAAATGATGAAAAAGCCATGCATTGTATTGGAGGCCAACTACTACACTGAGCCATTGTCAGGAATTAGAAATATTTTGATTCTGTAAGTCTGATGGCTGGTTTGTAATTGATAGAGTCTCAATCTTTGTTTTACAACATTACAAAATTTTAAAAACTTTTCTGGGAGTACTGTGAAATTTCCAAAATACCAACCATGTTTTAGTTTTTCATGAAATATGTCATCTGTGGGAAAAGAAGTCTTTAAATTGTGAGATTAGGTATCTTCTGCTCTGGAACGTTGGAGTTTGGCAGATTATGCCACCTTCTTACATGATAATGATTAAAATTGGAAGGACTTTTTCTTAATTCTAGTAGAAGTGACTGGTTTTTAATATACCTTTAAAAGGAGGTGGGGTAATGCATCGTGTGATTTCCTGCCTTGGCCAGCAGAGGCCTCCACGTGCCTCCTAAAGTCAAGTTTCCCTGGATTCAGGAAGGAATGTGAGACCAATGCGTTGCCTGTCAAGGACAGCAGGGATCACGTGTGAGGGCAGCACGTTTCTGAGACTCCATTCCAGGATTTCAGCAGATGCGCCTATATGGAGGCTACCTGCTCTGTGTCAGGCAGAAGACAGGGACTAAACAGAAATTCCTTGTAACACAGAGCTAATATCATAGTCACTTTCGTATTTGGGTGAGGCCTCCCTGCAACTCCTGTCAAAGGCACGTCAGTTCTGGGGTGGCTTCAATTTTGAAGTGTGCACAGATAAGTTATTTCAAAGAATCTACAGCTGGCCTTGTGACCTGCCAATAGGAAGTAGTTGAAGGGACAGCGTGCTAGTTCTGAGGCTAGGATTTAAGAGGCAGGCCCTGTGCATGTTGTCTATTGTTAGGAGGCAAGGATGAGACTGTTAAGAGGGATGTAAGCAACTTATAGCCATCAACTCAGTGGCCCCAGCTAACAACCAGTAGACCCCATCTGAGCCACCTAGCAGATGCATGAGCATGCTCAACCGAAATTAGCTGAACCTAGCTGGTTAGAGGACAACTGCTCTGTAGATCTCTCGACAAGTGATCAGTAATAAATGGCTATGATTATGATTTTTTATTATACTTTAAGTTCTGGGATACATATATAGAACGTGCAGGTTTGTTGCATACATATACACATGCCATGGTAGTTTGCTGCACCCATCAACCCGTCATCTATATTATGTATTTCTCCTCCCCTAGCCCCCAGCTCTCTGACAATCCCCAGTATGTGATATTCTCCTCCTTGTATCCATATGTTCTCATTGTTCAACACCCACTTATGAGTGAGAACATGTGGTGTTTGGTTTTCTGTTCCTGTGTTAGTTTGCTGAGACATGATGGTTTCCAGCTTCATCCATGTCCCTGCAAAGGACATAAACTCACGCTTTTTTATGGATGCCTAGTATCTCATGGTTTATATATGCCATGTTTTCTTTATCCAGTCTATCATTGATGGGTATTTGGGTTAAACAGCTATTATTTTTAAGCCACTAAATTTGAGGTGGTTGGTTACAAACTAGCAAAATAATATACTCTAATTATAATCATAGCAGTCATAAAGCTATTCCTGATACTTATTTCAAGATGAACACTACATTAACAAAATATTTTAACAATAATGTGAGACATAATATTTCATCAATCCTGAAGTGATTACTGATGCTTATTTCAATATGATTACTATTACATTAACACAGTATTTTAACAATAGTGTAAGATTCATATGTTCTACTTTGGAAATAATTACTAAGTTTTTCTTGATGCTTGGTAGAATTAGCAGAAGACAATGACTCCTCCTATGATATTAACACCTCTCTACCAACCAACTATATTTTTATAAGAAGTGTACTTCAGGACAGAAAGTGTTAACTCACAGTCCTTCCGCAATGCACTCCAGTAAAAGCACATTTCCTCTTAATTCCTCTTTGCTACTTGCATTGCCTTCTGGAGTTAAAAATGTTGGTGGCCTCTCTCTATTTGATTTAGCTGCAAACAAGAAAATCAATATGCATTACAACTTATAAATATGCATTTCTATAAACACAGTTCATTATCAAAAAAGCTGTCTAAAATTCTAATCCCTTTTTAAGCTATTTAATTGTGAAATTTGATAAGCTACAAATACATACTCTCTGCCTTATAAGTAGTCATCACTCACTCAGTTACCAAGGAACAGAAACAATTTTGGTTGCATAAGCACTAATATTAAGGACTGTTTTTCTTTTGTGTATTTCCTTAATTTGGGTTAGGTTTTTACAAATTTTCTGTGGGTTATAAAATTTTCAAAATGTTGACACGGAGAGGAAAATTATGTTATCAAACTATATTTTCCTTAGGATTAGTGCTTAGGTCAAAGCAAAAATTACTGTCTATCTTCTGGAAAATGTCGGGTTTTTATAAAGATATGCTTATAGAAGGGGTATTCTGGTTTACAGTGGGAACAACATTATAGCCAATATCACTGATTAATCATATTAAGATTCCCAAACTGCAACGTTTATGGGAAGCAAAAAGTAGAGAGTTACCGACAGAGGTCTTGCAAATATTATGCCACAAATTAAGAATAATGTTGGCGTTAAAAAAATAGAAATCATTTTCCTCAATGAAAAAATAAAGAGGGTCCAAGTCAAAGATCTTAGGGATAGTTATACAGGCCATCTTTTTCATGGCAACCTTTCCAAAACGTAGCCTTCTCTTCTGAAGACTTCTTAGGAAAACTTGAAGCGGAAATTACATCATTGTAAGGTTTTTCTAGCCTTTGAAGGTTTTCAGCTCTTTAATGCATTATCTACTTGATGCTTATAAAAACGGAATGAAAACATAATATGATATGAATTATTCTTATTTCTAAGAAAAAAATCCAATGCCAGAAGAGGCTTGAGAGAAACTAGTTTTCCTAAGAATTTAGAGATTGTGGGAGTAAACTTACTCCTCTAAAATCACTTTGGGAATGGTCTTGGGGCCCATATTTTTCAGGGGTATATTCAAATAAAATAAAATAAAGTAGCAATTGTGGAGTATCTGTCTTGGTCACTGATGAGAACTTAATGTCTTTTACTCAAATATCAAGGGTAAAAAATTAATACAGCAGCAATTCTGCCTTATGGATAATTAAGAGGACACTATATCCAAAACCCATTATTTTCATTCATAGACTCTACATGAGCACATTTCCCATATTCATTTCTATCTAAAATAATGAAGTTAAATGCTCTACTTCTAAAAAGATTACTTCCATTGAAGACAGTGATTTGGTCTGACTTGCTTTTAAACAAAACTAAGAGAAATGGTACTGCTAATTATATTGATAATGTCACATGAAAACAGATGAGAAATGTAATGATTTACTACGAGATCCACTTAATGTTAGTTGCTAAAAGCTTTGATGAGTCCATATTCTAGCAAGTTAATGCACCCTGCTAACTCCTACTTAGTTCACAAGAAAAGTTATGAACAGAACAAAACATGGAAAACATAATTCTGAACACACGTGAAAGATTTTTTCCAAATCAGTGAAATGGTTCTTTACACGAAAACAGTTACAACAGGTTTCATTATTATACACGTCATGGAAAATGCTCTAGCGTCATGCTTCAAAGTTTAGAGCTAAATTTCTTAAGAAACATACATTTATACTAGTGGTGTTAAACATGTAACTAGAAATTTCATAAAGAAATAAGGTTAAATAGCCATGGAGGTGAAGTTAGTGAACTAAATTCTACAATGAAGGAGAGAATATCAGTTACAATCACCATAACTCACCACCATAAAACTCAGTGTCACTCAAATTAGCAGCTATAGTGTCATTCAATTCATCCACTGAAATAAACAGAATATTATGAAGAGGGCACAAAAGTAGCAGAGAAGGGTCAAAAAGTATTGGGCAATAAAAGCAAACGTATGCAGCTATGCTGACCGACTGCTGTCCCTATAAAGTAAAAACAGTGCTTTACATTGTACATGACTAACTGTTTAATTTACTCAGCCACCCCCAACCAGGAATATGCGGACATTTAACTTAAGCTGCAAGACTGCCAATAAGAGGCACTGTGGAGCATAAAGCCCACACAAATGCTCAGAAGACCAGATGGTTCAGAAGGTTATCACGGAACCAGTCATGACAATACAAGCAGGAAATGTAAATTCCAGTCTTTAGGGTATGCACAATATTTGTAACACATATGCCACTTTAGTGAGCATTCATGGGTGGTTTCCTGATAACGAACCTGTTTACTTCAAAGTCAGTAGTATATAATAGTTTCTATATTTTACACGTATTTGTAAATGCCATTAAAGGAGAGATTCGGGAAGCTGAACTCTTACCAGAAATCACCTTCACAGAAATAGGTTGCTTCTGCTGTATGGTTTGAGTATGATTAAATCTGGCATAACAGATATAGTCTTCACGGGTATCCTCTGGGAGGACATTGGAAAAATAAAGGTCCCCATTCAGACCTTGAGAAACTCTCTCACTTTGTGGAAGTCTTTGAAAGGCTGGAGAAAGGCAGAGAGGTATCCAGATTATTCCATCATAAAGTGCCTAACCTCCAAATTAGCAAGATAAATGTATCTACTAATAGGTCTGTGAACTTCATTTGAATATATTTTTTTCTCTATACAGCTTCTTTGGGTAAAAGCAAATAACTGTTAAAAAAAGAAATACACAACACACTAAAACTCTAACTCTACCTCCCTGACCCTACCTTCTCTGGGGTGGGGGCAGAGGTTAGATTACAGTTATGCAGTGAAGTGTTTCATTAAGCAAATGTATACAAAATATGTTTTCCAAAAAGTTTGTGTGATTTTCCTACTATCTAAATGAACCTCTAACTGTTAAATACACACACACGTATCTTAGAAAATCATTAAGGAAGCTTCTAAAAATGTTAAGGTGGATTGCATCTACACACAAAGTTCAGAAACTAAATACTTGGAGAGCATCTAATGGTGAGCTGGGTCCTGTGTGAGACACTCGGCATGCCAGAGTCCCAGCCCTGTCTGAGGTCATCATCCAGTTGAAGAATCAGGCAGCAAATGGGCAGCTGACAATAATTGGGTGCGACGTGACACTACTTATCTAATGCTGCAACCTGCCCCTCCAAAGCCTCCTAAACCCAGTTCCTCCACCTCCTCTACTCTTCTTTTCTGAATTACTTATCACCTTCTGGCATGCTACATATTTACTCATCATACATATGACTTACTGCCAGTTTCCTGTATTAGAATTTAAGCTCCAGGACAGCGGACACTTTCATCTGCTTTGTCCACTAGAACAGTGCCTGGCCCTTCACAGGGCTCCTTTAAATGTGCATTGAAGGATTAAGTGAGTAACCATCAACACTCTGACTTTCCAGTGTCAAGCATAGTAATTTATTAATACTTCCCCTCAGGTCCAGTTAAGGAACTACTTTGTCCTTAGGCAGGAGGATTTTCTTTTTCTTTTTATGGACACATAATAAACTGTACATACTTGTGGGGTACAATGTGACATTTCAATACACATGTACATTGGTAATGATCAAATCATGGTAATTAGCATATCCATCACCTTAGACAGTTACCATTTCTTTGTTGTGAGAACATTCAAAATCCTTTCTTCTAGCTATTTAAAATATACAATGCATTACTGTTAGCCACAGTCACCCTACTGTGCAACAGAGTATCAGAACTTATTCGGAGGGAAGGTTTTCTAAGTGGATGAAGGATGCAGGGAGGCGGAACAACTGATTTGTGTATGAGTTCACACTTAGCCAGCTAATAGGCATCCTGAAGCTCCTAACTTAGTCCGCAGAGCTTCATCTGTGAGACTTCTTCAGCTCTGAGGTGACAGAACTGAAAAAAGTCACACCTCCCAGTGGCCTCAGGCAGGTGCTATGTCTCCTGGCAGGGTTTTTCCAGTGTGAGTCAAGCAGGTCTGCTCCTCCTATAGCAGGTGCTTGGCCTAACATTTCACAAAATGCAAAATTATGGTTAAAAGTCTGGAGATCCCTTAGGCAGAAGAAGGCAGGGAAATGTGGAGGCAGAGCTTGAAAGAACACCGGTTCATCAGGAACCAAATTATTGGTCAAGATGGGGGTTTGGTTGGCGGTTGCAAATTTATGGCTTTAAGCCATTAATTCCCAGGAAAAGGAGTGTTTTAACAATAACTCAAGCCGGGTGCAGGGGCTCTAAAAATGTTAACGTGAGTTGCATCTACATACAATGTTCAGAAACAAAATACTTAGAGAGCTGTGTCCTGTGGGGATGACATGTCTCTAATCCTGATCTCAGGTGATCCTCCCAGCACTTTGGGAGGCCTAGGTGGGTGGATCACCTGAGATCAGGAGTTCAACACCAGTCTGGCCAACATGGTCCAACCCCATCTCTACCTAAAAATATAAAACTTGGCCAAGCATGATGGTGGGTACCTGTAATCCAAGTTACTCAGGAGGCTGAAGCAGGAGAATCACTTGAACCTGGGAGGTGGAGGTTGCAGTGAGCTAAGATTGCACCACTGCACTCCAGCCTAGGTGACAGAGTGAGACTCTGTGTCAAAAGCAAAACAAAAATAAAAAAAGACTCAGAAGAATTAAGTATATTTTGTTTAACAAAGAGTCAAAGACAAAAATACCTTTATTGTCCTCTGTTTCTCCTGCTGTGTAATAAAATAATAAACTGAAGGGTGCTGGCAGACCAAATATTAGGCAATGGGACTTCATGAGGGTGGTGGCATTTTGCATTGCATTCGGAAAAAAATATATGCAGATAGGAATAACTTAATGTCATCTTGTAAGAAGTATGCTATATAAATCTAATTTTTTTTTCTCCAATTGCAGGTGCAATTCCATTTGAAAGGTCAGATGCTTCACCAACAGCCTAAAACGTATGTAGGTGCTATATCTAGCTGTATAATGTGGGGAAAAAAATAGTGATGTATGCAGATGACTCTGAGACTTTACATGTGATATGTGTCTTTATTAAGTAAAAAGGTAATTATTTCTGAATAAGAACCAAGGACCAAATATTGAGACTTATTTTGGCAGTGGCATTTGGAGAGTGTTATTCTTAAAACCATAAATCACCTTTTTACATTTGGCTTACTACTTATTTTTGGAGAATCTGTAAGAGATTCATTTAGTTATATATTTGTTTTTTAATTCTTTGCATTACTTTACTTTCTCTGACTGCTTTCATGCAAGAAGAGTAAAAAATGCATCCCAGTAAAATAAAAAATAAAAAATAAAAATAATGCACGTTAAATGTTACAGCCAAATTTTCTCTTTAGTAACATATATGTCTTGTGAGTGCAGAGGCCATCAGGTCACTGAAAACAGAATGTATTTCCTACAGATTCTTTTAACTCATTCCCAGCATTCCACCTAAAAGACTCTTAGCAGGATTACCAGGAACCTCCAAGTTGTCAAATTCAGCAGTAATTTTTTAGTTCTCATATTATCTGATCTATCAGCAGCATTTTAAAGAGCTGACTACTGTGTCTTTAAAAAATATTTTCTGTAATTATTACCTTTTTTTTTTTTTTTAGAGATAGTGTCTCACTCTGCTGCTGGGGCTGAACTGCAGTGATGTGACTGTAGCTCACTGCAGCCTTGAACTACTGAGCTAAAGCAATCCTCAAATCTCAGCCTCCTGATTAGCTGGGATTACAGTGTGAGCCACTCTGCCTGGTTATTCTGTCTTCCTGTCACACATTCTTCACCTTGTCCCTGGAACACCACTCTCTTCATTCTTTTATTCCTTCAGTGACTGTCTCTTCTCCTCTGCTTTGCTGGTTTCTCCACGAGTTCTTCACTTCTGGGGGTGCTCCTGGTCTCTGTCTCCCAGACTCTGCTCTCCTGCTTCCCAGATCCTCTCATCTAGCCCAGGCCTCTGGGGAGCACTTATGCACTAATGATTCAAACACTGCTGATCATAGCCCAGAGTCTTCCTTCCGACTCAGGTATCTCTGACTCTAGTTGGCACCTCGCCATGAAATATCTTACAGGCCTCACATCCCAAACTCTGGTTTCTCAGTCTCCAAGCAGAACCATGTGCTCCCTCTAAGATAACATGCTGACCTATTAGCACAGGAAATTCTGGAGGGTGGAAGAGGCAGAGCAACAAACATTCCCTTGAGGACAGAAACAGGGGTAGATAAGTTTGAAATTGCCTATTGCATAGCTTCATTCTCTTTGCCTCAGTTTCCTCATCTAGAAAGTGGAAAAAATAATTAGACATGCCTCATCAGGTTGTGAAAATTAATGGCATAACCCATGTTAAGTCCTTAGTAAAGGGCCTGACACTTTGTAAAGGCCCAATAACTTTTAGCTATTGTTAGGGATTATAAAAACAAATAGGAGATCCAAAATAGCCAAACAGGAACAGCTCTGGGGTGCAGTTCCCAGCGAGAAGGCGGAGGGTGAGTGATCACTGCATTTCCAAATGAATTTTTACTGCCTACAGACCAGGAGATTCCCAGGCTGAAAAGCACCATGAGTCTCTACCACGGCTGTTTCAGCTGGTGCAGTGGGTCTCCGCACAAAAACTCACACAAATCTGGGCGGCCATTTCAACTGGCATCTGGAACACCTAGGAGACAGAGTCACCCATTCAACTGAAAAAAAGGGGCTGAAACAGAGAGCCCGGTGATCTGGCTCAGCAGGTCCCACCCCTACAAAGACCAGCAATCTGAAATGCTCTGGATTGAGACTTTCATACCAAGCACGGCTGGACCAGGATGGTCCAGATCTGTGGGGGGAAGGGCATTTGCCATTACTGAGGCAGTCCACCACTACCAAGGCAGTCTGCCATTACCGAGGCAGTCCACCATTACCGAGGGAGCCCACCATTACTGAGGAAATCTGCCATTACCGAGGCAGTCCGCCATTACAGACACAGTTCGCCATTACTGAGGCGGTTCTAACTATACCTCTATAAACAAAACTGCAAGGAAGTTCACACAGCAGTTGGGTACAGCCCACGGCTTTACTGGCAGAATGTGACTAGGAACACCGCTGCTGGCAGACTGTGACTAGGCTACTTCATGACTGGGCAGGGTATCTCTGAAAAAAGGCAGCAGCATGTCAGAAACTTAGAAATAAAGCCCACATTCCCAGGACAGAGCACCTGGGTAAAAAAGGCAGTTATGACTTAAGCTGTAGCAGACTTAAACATACTTGCCCAGCAGCTCTGAATGGAACAATGGTGCTCACAGCTCAGCACTTGAGCTCCTATAAGGGACAGACTGTCTCCTCAAGTAGCTCCCCAACCCCTGTATATCCAAAGAGACACCTCATAAAGGAGAGCTCAGGCGGACATGTGGCAGGTATCCTTCTGGGACAAAGATAATAGAAGAAGAAACTGGCAGCAACCCTTACTGTTCTGCAGCTGCCGCAGGTAATCCCCAGGTAAGCAGGGTCTGCAGTGGACCTCCAGCAGTCCTATAGCAGAAGGGCCTGACTGTCAGAAGGAAAATTAAAAAAACAGAAAGAAATAACTTCAACATCAACAAAAAGGAC